TACTTACATGTAGATAATGATACCTCGACTAAGACTTTCATAAAATTATAACCTCATCTACTAATCATCTGGCGGGTTGCGCTTGCTAGGAAGAGTTTAGGATTGCTGAATCGTCTTCTTGGGTATTGAAGTATGGCGCAACTACGCTATGGACATATTCATGCTAGGATATAAACTGGTGCTAAATCGATTGCCATGCCAATGGCTATGAATGTTAACAAGAAATTGGCTTCGAACCTTTTCACTTTGCTTCTTAACTAGGAAGGGACGCCGAAGGATCGCAAAATTTGACCAGTTCTGGCGGAGGTCTAGCTTCTCGGTCAATAATCCCGTCCAGTTTGTACCTCTTCAACGAAGCCTCCGATACAGTGTGCGAGACCAAGTACATTAGGGGACTCGCATCCTGTTACCTTCTGCATCAACTCTATGTGCATTTCAGAGTCTACAGAAAATTTGCTGCACATTTCTGGGCTCATACTGTATAATATCGAGCGACTAGGAACAACGGACAGCTCGCAGGCCCTGCACTGAGGCACAACTACTGTGAAACTTATCTAGTAATTTTTTCTTTATGAGATCTAGGCATCTGTCTAGCCACAGCTCCGCGCCTGGTCTGTGATGAACTAAGTACTTGACCGGTAGTTAGTCCCATCTTCCGCTTGCAATAATGCAGAATGTAATCATGGAGATAAACTATCATGCTAACACTCGCTGTATGCAAGTGATTAAAGTAAATATGATCACTCACTGTATGCAAAAACTTTCACTGAACCTCTATCCAAGACCTTAATTCTCTCAACCATATCAGGAACTTGGGATCTCCCCTCCAACCGGCCTAAGTTTTAGGGATGATAGGGAAAGGCACCATTTTTTTATTACCACTGTCATCAGCTTTCCAAGCCCCACAGAAGAATCTTCTGCCTTAGAAAACTCGACCTCTATCTTGGGTTTATAGCGACTAGGACATGGCAACGGCCGATCCATTTGCTCTTTTTTTTGTGTTAAGTCACACTTGTAACTATCATAACGTTTTATATGAATGTCATTAATTTATGCTCATACATCGATTAAGAGATGAAACATGCATAAATCGTCCGTTTCCTTCACCTCTGTGCGTGCGTGTGTGTGTGTGTATGTCTGTCTCTCAACACGTAAAAAACAAGTACAATCTATTAATAGCATATTAGGTCTTATTCTAATGACAATGGGATGTAAATAAGACAATAAACGAGAGGCAGCGCAGACTTTTGTGTTACCAACGAGTGAAATAATAATATTCAATACGTCTATCTATTTACTTATCAGAACAATTCTGAATGCGATGTTCCCGCCGTTGGCGTGAGATCCCACGTCAAAAATAGTCATACAGTAGAAAGAGGCCCCATCCAATAAAGGCTCGTAACTCAACTCTAACCATATTTATTATCATTTGACTTTCGTCGAAAGATCCTCTTACAAAACTCAAAATACTAGTCATCATCGCCATCTCGGTCAAGATGCGGTGGTCGCTCTCAAAATATCGATCAGCCTTGACTACCCACCTCGTAGCTCGATCAGCTCCCCTTCTATCCTCAAGAATTCCCCTTCCCTTGTTAACGTACGCCGGATCTAACCCCCTCCTCCCCGCTGCAACTCCGGAATAGTTAGAACACCTCGCCGCAGCTCTTCCCCAAGCGGAAGGCACTGACTACTCCCCACTAGACGCGACCTCTGAAGCATGGACGTCCAGACGTTGGCTTCCTCTTCAAATAATTAAGCCATCCTCTCCAGTGGGTGTCTGGAGAGGTCCCTCATCTCCGGAAACACATGGTGGGGAGGCAGGAGGCGACGATTAACAGCTGTGTGTGGGCCTCTCCCTTGGTCTCTAAGCACCGTCAAGCCAGCAGAACTCGAGGACAGCTACCAGCTGTGGTGGTGGCTCGCCTCCATGGCCGCCGACGACGATAATTAGAGCATAAAGCTGCAGATCTACGCTGAAAGCTCGCCTTTGAGGGCCTCCACGGCCCTTGTTATCATCTCAACGGTGACATCACCCCGACAAGGTTTCTATTTGATATTGCTGCATGATTGCCTCTGTCGAGGCGGCAACCGGGAGACTCATTCTCCATCGATGTTTCTCTTTCCAACTGTCACGCAGAAGGAGAAGATGGGCCATCCATTGTACGCTTGCATGGCTGATATCATATTTTTATGCTTGTAAATCGCGGAATACAACAGCATTCCCCTGGTCCTTGTAATTAATAGAGTTTCCTTCTATCTATCCCCAGACAGACGATGCCTAGAACATGGGTAGATTAACAGGATCCATTCAACTAATAGAGTCGAATGGATTGACCAACCTTGGGCCCAGATCTTCATCGGTTTAATGGAGCTCGAAAGTTGACTTTTCGACACGATGATCCGAGAATTCTCGAAAACAAGCTTTCGGCGGCGGCACTCAGTATGAAGCCTATCTCGAGCCCTCCTATTTACCCAGCCAAGCCCTGTTCTTGACCAGACCATTACTACTCAGTTGGTCAAGTTTAAAAACCATGAAGAAAATATTGTAGAAATATACATCGTGGGAGCATTCCATCCTATTGAAAACAGGAAACTTGTCGGACTGGCGATCCAAGTTTGATCCAAGCAGGCCCCAAATTCAAAGCTCTCTCTTCCTTCTCTAATTTACGCGATCCTAATTACCACAGAACCTCACTTTCAATCTCAGACAGGAATCTCCTTTCAGAGTGTGCAGTCTCATCTTCTGACACACTATTGACCCAATGGGAGGGATAGAGAGAGAAACCACAGTCATATGGAATAGGGTCCTGGAAGTTGCTGCTGCCTGATCTGTGGGGTCCCAGTCACAGAAGGTGAAGGCCGTTCATTCTTCTAGGAGATGACCTAATGGGCCTGTTCTGCCCTAAAATCGGACAATAATAGTGGGTTGAAGGTATGGTTCTATATGGGTTCAAATGGGCCTGGGCTGGGGAATGTGAGCCTGCTGGTGGGTAATTGGGTGATTATGATAAAGATTAGTGGTCATTGTTTCAATTCCTCAAAATAGCATACGTGTTGGATTTGCGGCAGGAGAGAGTGGTATTTGGTTCTCTCCTCTTCCATGGTGGTTGGTTGGTTTCCCAACTCGTCGAGCTCCTCGGCATTGATGGGTTGCTGGATGATCGGACGGATTCCTCCAGGAAGGTACGAATCGTCGTTATTGATTCCGGTTGTTCATCGGCTTGCCGGTGTCCGATCCTCGTAGGTAGGCCCTAAGTTCTCTGTAACTGGCTTCTCTCCAGGGGGAATTACCCGGCGGGGGAGTGATTTCATTTGGATTTTTTTCTTTCTTTGAAGGTTGTTGAGCCTCTCGCAAGCTTTCGAAAGTATTAAGGTGGATTTATATACTCGCTGGTGTGAATCTTTTCGTGGGTCACGCAGAAACAGCTGAATTACGGAGCCTCTTCATGCTTGCATTTGTCTGAGAGGCGAGTGCCCGGTAAATATGCTAACTCAGATTTTACTTTCTGGAATTTGGTGGAGTTCTTGGTGTCATTGGGAGTAATCCTTAGCATTTGCATTTGGAAGGAGTTCCTTTAACATTGGGAAATTTTCTTGACATGCACATCCTTTGGTACCTTGGTCTCAGTCTGGCCAGTTATTAGTGGTTTTATCTACTGGGGTGAAAAAAACAGCTTCTTTTCAGGGATCGGTCTTAAAAATTTACGTTCAGTTCTTTATGGGCCACTGCTGTCTCCCAACAATAGTATATTTTCGAGTTAGGGTGCTGTACATTTCTGAGTCGTGGCATTCGCTGTTTCTGTCTCTCTTGTTTTTTTTTCCTCTTTATCAAAATGCCGTATTTCGTGCACCAGACTAGTAATAATATCATATTGGAAGTTCATCGACTGTGTCTTTTGAAATAAATCTTGGGCTCTGGTAACTCATCTGCGAAAGGTAAATTCCAGTTCCAGATGCTTGTTAAAATTGATGCCCAGTTGTCTGTTTTCTCCACTTCTCCATGCTTTTTCTTCTCTATTATTAGTCAAAGGAAGCAACTTGTTGAGGTATAGCCTGGTATGTTTTTGGGCACACAACTCCCGTAAAAACCATTTTTTATTCTAGCTTTCGTAATTATATTTGTCTGAAAACATGAAAACTGTTATTATCCTCCTCAAGTGTTATAATGATTGAAAATTATGTTCTTATGATGCCTTCAGTATGATCTTGCTAATTAACGCTTATGCTATAATATCTGATAATTTTGTCTGTGCTGTAAAACAAACAATTCTCTCAAAACAATTCTGACGGTGTAGTTGTTTCTCTGGCTGTGGGAAATGGCAAGACAAGTCCATTTTTGGATAATTCAGTCCACGAAGTCCCTCTCTTTCCTCTGGATCTCTACAAATATGGAAGAACATTTCCAGCGGGATTCCTACATTTCTCGATCTTCAAGAAAGTGGTCAATTGCTTTCTGAGGCTTTCAACAAACTGCCCATTTTAGTATCCCACAATTTTCCTTTTGAAAATATATTTTTTTTCCTGGAAAATATTCCTGTTCTCCTTTCGTTCTACGAACTTTTTGTCCCATACTGGATTTTCCCACCATTGTAGGCAACTACCTTATATTATCGTACGCATGACATGGCTGGGAAGTTCCCTTTGAGTGCCATCTCCATGCCAGTTTTTCTTCCAGTTGACCTTCTTGCGTGATGCATATGATGCGATGCAGTAAATCCGATCGTTTCTCCTTCAGTCAGGTATCTTTCTGTAGCCGATATTCTCCCCTCACTGGGATCATTCTTTTCTACCCTTCATGCACCGTTCTTCTTGAATATTTGAGATATTCTCCCAAATTTTGCTTCAACATTATAAACTTCAGGTTCTAAATGGTGTTGTTTAAAATATTTGAATCCTCATTTTCTTAATGTGTCTGAAATTCAGAATTCTTCTCCGTGATTTTTTCTGACTGAATTTCGTGTAATATTTCTCCAGAATTAGTTCAAGAGAGGCAGAGCGCCATGGCTGCCGAGGATGATCATCACGACTTTTGCTCGATCAAGGACATGCTTGCCAGTGGTGACAGAATTAGTGAAATAGGAAACACTGTTGAAGTTCTTACGAAGATAGAGCTTGAGGTGGCCTACTGTTCTGAGAAGGTCCTAAACCTCGATATACTTCTGATGAATGTCGCTAGCCAGTTGACCGATTATGAAGCCCTGGAGGTTGAAGCTGCCTTCATCCCTCCCGATAAGGTCGAGAAGGCCTTTGAGTTCGATATGCTGTCCGGGATTTTAGATTCCGAGTTGGAAGAACTGGATAGCTTCATGAGATATCTCCAAGCAGAAATCATGGATGCCCGTCGAAGGCTACAGCCGAGTGGACATCCTGAAGCGCAAGTAGGAGAGAAATTGCGTGATGCTGAAGAGTCTTTGAAGCAGTCACAAGAGCAGGTGACTGAGATTAGGACGCACTCAACGAAGTTTGAAAGGCTTTTAGCTCTAAGAGGGAAAGAACCAGGTGAGTATATATATATATATGTATATATTTATGTAAATATATCTTTTTGATTCCTTTCCATGTTGTTTTATACTATAGTATGGATAATTTTTATTGTCTGTGTTCGTCCTGACAGGGAATGGCGAGGGTGAAGGCTTTTCTGATAATGGCCATGTTTCTTTGATGGGTGATAAGTGGAAGATGCATACCGTGGGGCAACAAAGGCACGTTTTGCAGATGCTGGAGAAGTCGCTGGCCAGAGAACTCGATCTTGAGAAAAGACTCTCAGAGGCGAGGTATGAGGAGGAGGTACTGAGGTTGAAACTGGGGTTGGTGGAGAAGGAAGCCTCCTGTGCCGAAGAATCAATGGCGGACATTCTAGAGAGGCTGTTTGAAGCTGATAATATTTCCCTGGTGATGATGGAGATATCGAAAGGATTAATATCGAAGCTCCAGACAGTGCAGTTCAGCTTAAACTGTTCAGGACTGAGAGAGAACGAGATGAGATCGAAGCTTCAGGATAGCTTGCAGAGACTGTCGACTCAAGAATCCGCCATGCAGAGGCTGAAAGCGAGTAGGTCAGAAGCTGATGATCTCCTGGTGGGGCAGGTGAACAGTCTGAAATCCAGCCTTAAAGAAGCCGAAGACAGATTTGCTCTCTCTGATTCAGAGACCATAGCTCTGAAGGAGGAGGTGAATTCCCTTGAGAAGAGGCTGAGAGAATCTGACATGGAGCTTCTGACTAACCAGGAGAAGGTTGTGGAGGCAGAGAGAAGAGCCGAGAACGCAGAAACCAGTTGCAACCTATTAGCAGAGACCAACATGGAGCTCAGCAAAGATCTCGGTTCGATCAGAATGGTGCTGTCAGAAAAGGAAGATGCGCTGGACAGGCAGCGCAAGGAGTCGGATGCCCAGCTGAAGCAGGCCACGGCAGCGATCGAGGCAATTGGGGAGCAACGGGATTTGCTCTTTTCCACAGTCAGCGACATGGAAACACTAATCAAGGGTCTGAAGGCGAGAGCTTCAGAAGCAGATGCCATAGCCCAGAGCGCGGAGTCCAAGTGTTCTTCGTTGACTGAAACCAATTCGAAGCTCAGTGTGGAGCTGGGCTCGCTGAGAAGTAGATTGGGGTGTTTGGAGGGATCTCTTCATCAAGCTGAGAAAGCCAAGATGGCAACTGCGAAGGACATCGGCGTCAAGGCTAAATTTATCAATGATCTGGTGATAAAACTAGCATCAGAAAGAGAGCGGCTTCAAGCGCAGGTCTGGTTCCATTTCAAGTTGCACATTCAAGTTCTCTCGCCTTCTCCAGATGATAATTTTTTACAGCTTTTGATTCCAATCTTAGCATATATCCGATGCTTCTCTTCCACGGTTTCAGGGAAGAGAAGCATCCGCTTATGCTGTTTATATGAACATCTGCTTTTCTCCTTGCAGGTCTCCAGACTGACGACAGATAACCAGGCTCTGCGGGATTCAAGTCAGGGGATTCAAGACGATGGGAAGGAACTCGGTTGCGTCGAATCATTCGAAGGATCAGTCGCAGAGTCCTCCGCGGCAGATTTTCAGGTGCCTCTCGGCCTCTTCCTGATGACATTATTTCCTTTGAAAAATGGGATGCTTGGTGATTCCGGTGGGAGACAAAATTACATGTTTTCCCACCTCAGAGTAAATTAGAAAAAATGCATGTTTTTTCAGAGAAACCATGATTCTTCTTCCATGTGGGTTTCTCTGAAAATGTTCTTCTCGGTGTATCGTCAGGCTGAAGCTTATTCCCCGGGGGTTGACGACTCCGCGGCGGCGGCGGGGGCGGCGGGGGCGGCGCTGAATGTCGGGGCCGTGAGATCTATAGAAGCCGGGCTGCTGGGCCCGAAGCACGTCGTTGTCGCCGCCCTTGTCCTGGCGATCTCGGCTATCGGGGTCTACATTTTCCAGCTGGAGAGCTGCCCTTTTTGATTTTTTGGCTCTGCTCCACCAGTCCTCCCGTCAGACCCGGCTGAACATATCTGTCGAGAGGATGAGACAAACGGCTGGAGACCTCTGCAGATTTCTTTCTTTACGTTTCTGGATAGCTTCTGTGGTGGAGGAAGCTCGAAAGATCTCCCGCGCCGCAGGGTTTCGTGTCCTTCGATGAGGCTTGGGCGTTCGAGTGAGCTCGAGAGAGATTTCCCATGGAGTTGGAGGGCTGCTCCGTTTTCCAAGAATCTCGGAAAAGCAACCATGGAATAGGCCGATGGGCCCAATTGGCCCATTAGTCTGATCCCGAGTTAAGTTTCAGTCATTTCCCGATGAAATGGGCCGATTGGCCCAGAGATTGCCAAGTTAGGCATTTAGGCCCATATTTTATAGATAGAGAGAGAGAGAGAGAGTCATTTCTGGGTGAAATAGGCCGAATGGCCCAGAGATTGCTCGTTAGGGCCACATAGGCCCATATTTAAGGGAGAGTCACTTCCAGATTAAATGGGTCGGTTGGGCCAGAGATTGCCCAGTTAGCCATTCTCGAGGGGTAAAATGGGCCGATTGGCCCCGATATTAAACATTTAGACCCACTTAGGCCCATACTCTAGCGAGAGAGAGAGAGAGAGAGAGAGAGAGAGGCAACGGCTTGCCGCCAAATGACGGAACTCGAAAGCCCGCCAAAACTCCCGCGGCACTACGAAAATGCCTTACGCTTCGGGACTATAGATAGGGAGCTCAAGGGAAAGGAAGAGGAGGGAGGCTGAAGTTGGAGAGTCGCCGGAGAAGTCGCCGGAGGGGGAAGGAGGAAGCCATGAAGGGGCGGACTGTGAAACTAAGGGAAGCCCACAGGAGCAGCGGCGCTGCGCACTGTTCGGTCATATGGGACCTGGACGAGGGGAAGCACCTGGTCACCGCCGCATCCTCGGACACCGCCATCGCCGTCCACGATCTCGCCAGCCAGACGCCGTTACCCTCCAAGACACTGCGCCACCACAGGGATGGCATCACCTGCCTCGCCCTCAGCCCGGATTCCGCCTGCCTCGCCTCTGGCTCCATCGACCACTCCGTTAAGCTCTACGGGTTCCCAAGTGAGTTCTTATTCCTCGTCTCTCTTCTCCCCTTTTTTCTCGTTAAATTGAGAGATCTGCGAAGTGAGTTTGATGCTTTCATCTGGATTGATGAGGTCTGCGAAGAGTTGCGGAGCACTCTTCCTGTTTTCTACCATTTTGTTGTCCGTTTCTCCTGTCCAGGTTCCACTCAGGTTTTCTGTGTGGTAATCTTGAAAAACTTGCGCCCGATGGCTTCAAAATGCGGTGATGCTCAGATTATTATTAAACTTTAGCCACGCAAATAAGACTCGCGCTACTTTTCTTTAGAGGTCACTAATTGGTTGCTCCTCTGACTAGGCGGCGATTTTCAAAGCAACGTTACCAGATTCACATTGCCTATCCGCTGCCTCGCCTTCAATAGGTCAGGTAGCCTGTTGGCTGCGGCTGGCGACGACGATGGCATCAAGTTGATCGCTACAATCGACAGCTCGATTTCGAGGGTACTCAAGGGTCACAAAGGAACAGTGACTGGACTTGCCTTCGATCCGAAGAATGAGTTTCTAGCATCTGTCGATGGTCTCGGCACTGTCATCTACTGGGATCTCTCCTCTGGGCAACCAGTGCATACTCTAAAATCTATAGCTCCTGACTGTGGTTCGGATGCGTCCATTTTGAATGTGGTGTCCTGGAGTCCGGATGGGGAAGTCCTAGCAGTCCCAGGATTGAAGAATGACGTGGTCATGCATGACAGAGACACAGCTGAAAAACTATTCTCTCTGAAAGGCGATCACGAAGAATCTGTTTGTTTCTTTTCGTGGTCCCCAAATGGGAAATATATGGCCACTGCTGGCATGGACAGGCAGGTTTTAATTTGGGATGTTGACCTAAGGCAGGACATTGATCGACAGAAATTTGATGAGCGGATTTCTTGCCTGGCATGGAAACCTACCGGGAATGCTCTAGCTGTTATTGACGCCATGGGTAAGTTCGGGATCTGGGAGCTCCCGGTCCCTTCCTTCATGAAGTCTCCCACCGAGGATGTGCCTGACCCACAAACGAAAAAACATGGAAGTTTGTTTTTCGATGAAGATGATGAAGAAGATAGCTCTTCTGGTAGCTTGAATGATGCTGGTGAAGATTGCCTTGATGAATCTGAGCCGGCTAGCCATAAGAGATTGAGGAAACGTTCTAAACTTAATGATAATCTGAATGAGGACGATGGTGGGGAAGATGATCTGCTTTATGCCATTGAATCGCGAGACAGACGTAGGAATAGAAGACGAACAGAGAGCATGGCAGTTTCTGGCTCGGCAAAGTTAAAGAGCTCAAGAATACAGGAGGCGTTTCAGCCATGCTCCACGCCTGAACAATCTGGGAAGAGACGTTTTCTTTGTTACAATATGCTTGGGACCATCACAACGATGGATAACGAGGGATATTCGCACATAGAGGTGGCCACACGTCCATTTTTCTCTCCTTTATTTCGAATTAAGTTCCTTTCTTCATTACTCTAGTCGAGCAGCATGCCACTTTTTGTTGCATCTCAAATACATTCTGCGTAAAGAATGGGGATTTCTAATATCCGTTTCACTCTTTTTCTGGGCTCCCTCCTTGATTTATATTCTAAAACATTCAAGAATTAACAGGTTGATTTCCATGACACTGGGAGAAGTTCTAGGGTTCCTTCAATGACAGATTTCTTTGGTTTCACCGTGGCCTCGCTCAACGAGTCTGGAAGTGTCTTTGCTAATCCTTGCAAGAGTGGAAAGAGTGCGAGTACTCTGATGTATCGCCCTTTCAGCAGCTGGGCTAATAATAGCGAGGTAAATTATTCTTAACCAATTCATGTAACTAGTCTTAAATGACATATCAACATAGTGTCACAACCGGATCATGACGCCACTATGCCCATGTTATACACATGGCTTGCAATGATAGACTGATTTTGTGCACTATGTGAATCCAGTGGTCTATGCGTTTTGAAGCAGAAGAAGTGAAAGTGGTGGCCCTTGGCACTGGTTGGGTGGCTGCTGTGACAGATCTTAATTTTCTTCGCATCTTCTCAGAAGGTGGTTTGCAGGTTTGTGTTACCAGCCTCTTTATAACATCCTTCCTCAACTTCTGATCTAGTCCACTGCTATAAGGCTCATGCTTTTGGCAGAACACCTTTCCTGATGTAGATTATCCAAAGAATGGTAGCACTTAGTTGACTATGACCACGAATATCTAGCTTGTTCCTTGAATGATTGTATTGCAATTGGATCGGACTTGATGTTCATCACACGTTTGCATTCCCTCTTCGAACGAGTGTGTTGGCTTTTCTGGTCTAACTTCATCGATTACTTTTGACAGAGGCATATTATATCTCTTAGTGGACCTGTTGTCACCGCAGTAGGATTCAAGGATGAACTAGCTATTGTAACTCATGCTTCAGGGCCCCTTCCATCAGGAGACCAGGTACTTCGAAATATTTTAGTTTAGAAGCCGTCATTCGTTGCAATCTGTTCTACTCTAATGCTACCCTTGCCCATATTGACTACTACTTTGCTTCTTCTTTTCGTTGTGTAATGCTGTCTATATTGTATTCAGATGCTCGAAGTCAAAGTTTTCAACATATCAAGTGGAACCCAACCCATTAGATGCCCACTTCCACTGTCTCCAGGATCTACACTCTCGTGGTTTGGATTCAGTGAAGAAGGCCAGTTGACTGCATACGATTCACAGGTACGCTTTGCTTTTAGAAAGCCGCCCGCTCGTACTTGAATTCTTTGGGTCTGATTTGACGAAGTCTTATTTCTTCGGTAAATCATCCAGGGCGTGCTGAGAGTTTTCACAAACCAGTTTGGAGGGAGTTGGCTACCAATCTTCAGGTACTAAATCACATTCATCTCTTCTCTTACTAGAAACCCTCAGACCAGATACTGATGAAGAAAGCAATCTCTACCGCAGTGCGAGCACGTCTGAAGAAGAGAGTTATTGGGTTGTGGGTTTGAATGCTACCAAGCTGTTCTGTATAGTGTGCAAGCCCCCTGATTCATACCCTCTGGTACAAGATCACACTCTTATGCTTGCATCTTCTTCGGACATTAATTCACAGCCTTGAATCACTCCCGACGATCTCCAGGTCTCACCGAAGCCGGTTCTAACTCTACTAAGCCTCTCATTTCCCGTCGCGTTGTCCGATCTCGGGGCTTCCAATCTTGAGAACGAGTTCATCATGTTCAGCCACCAACTTTCTCAGGTCTACTCTTTCTCCCTGCTTGTTACAGATTCGAAGGTACCCTCGCTTGCTTCTAAAATCGTACGTTCCAATCCACAGATTCAGACCCAGATCGAGGTCGCCGCCGCCGCAGGCCAGGACACCACGTCTCTCGACGATGAGGCTTTCAACACGGAGGCCGCTCTGGACAGATGCATCTTGAGGCTGATCGCCAGCTGCTGCAATGGTAAAAGACCACAGAGATGGCCCAGCTCTGGTGTTGACCCTCGAACTTGTTTGACCTGGCGGATGTGTTGCAGGGGACAAGCTCGTGAGGGCCACTGAGCTCGCTAGATCGCTCCTCCTGAAGAAGTCAATCGCTGGGGCGATAAAACTCGTCACCGCCCTCAAGCTTCCCATTCTAGCTGAGAGATTCAGCGGCATCCTCGAGGTAACTATGAACGGTCTTGTCAAGTTCTCCTCTTTCGTGCTTGGACTCCATCTGCGTTTCTGAACGACGATGAACAGGAGAGACTACTGAGTGAAGCCACAGGGAGTCCCTCCGGGCAAATCTCCGCCGCCAATGGCTCATCTCCGGCGGCGCCGCCCAAGCCTCTGGCTCCACCCAGAGGCCCCTCTCCGCCGCGCTTCCCGAAGCAGCGGAGAGGAGACGGCGAGACGAAGATGAAGACGCTGGGAGCCGTGAAGTCGATCGTCGGCGGCGACGGCGAGGAGCGCCGGGAGACCGTGAAGTCGGTTGTCGCCGGCGACGCCGAGGAGCGCCGGCCGGCGAACCCGTTCGCGAAGTCGTCGAGCAGCCACGGCAAGGCGTCCCTTCTCGACTCCATCAAGAAGAAGAAATCTGACGGCGAGTGCGAGACTAATGGCGTCAAGAAGGGAATCAAGGTGTGAATATCGGCGCGAAGAAAGTATTCCCTGGCATGCTTGCTTATTTTATTTCTTATCATCCTTATTGATTTTTTAAAGAAATGTACATGATACCATACCTGATGTTCATATTCCTACGCTGAGGTGTTCATTAGAGATCCTTCCCTCGGAACACCCTCTAATTAATGAGCCCTGAAGTCAAACTGTATCAACCAAAAATGTTGGTGAATGCAAGGGAATGTAGAATTATTCAAGAAGTCGTTGATGCATGACTAAAATATTACGGTCGGCGAGAAGTTCCTGCGTGTGAGGGAGAGAAGGGAAAGGAACGGATGAAAATGTTCATTTATTCAGCTAGGGTTCTCCTTGGACATGATAAAGGGTCTTTTACATGCATAGGGTTATGTCCGGGTTTCCCTAAAACTCTCCCTCAAGGTGGATTGTAAATATCTTTAATGGTCATCTTGAATAGTAAAAAAGACAATCAATATGTAGGTAGAGGTTTTTTGTAAAGAGATTTATAGATTTATTTTCGGATCTCATAGGCATAAGCTTTATGCATTTAGCAAGTATTTGATCACATAAAAAATGAGAGTTATTTTTCATGTATTTGATATGTTTGTGAGAAATTGAATTAACTGCAATATGAAGTACAACTTGATTATCTCAGAGTAAAATAGTTGAGAGGGATGACTTGATATAAAAATCTTGTAATAATTGTTGTAACCAAATGACTTTTGTAGTGATGGTAGCTAATGCATGGTATTTAATCTCTATAGAAGAGCAAGATGTGTTTGATTGTTTCTTAGCTTTCTAAGAAATTAATGAGTCACTAAGAAAAACACAACAGCTAATGATAGATCTTTGAAAATGACTATAGTTGTAAGAATGTATAGTGGAGAAGAAGATTAATTAACTTGGATGTGATTTGGGATAACAAAGTAAATGGTACAGAGCAATCCAATGAGTCTGCTGAAGTTGAGTCATAAATTGATTGAGCTTATGAAATGTAAAAATAATATCAAGGTGAGATAATGTTAAATAAGGCCATTGCAAATCAATCTCTACTATTATAGAGCATCATCAAATAAAGAGAAAATATTTACATTGGATCCATGGGACTGGAAGTAGGTTTGGCACCCGAAAGGTTAGTGTCTTCAAATAATTGAAAAGCATAATGGTGTTGAGATAAAAAGATAACGATGATAGACTATGTAATCTCAAGACTTTGAAAATATTTGAGGTTGACAAGTTTGAGTCTATTGATTTTTATATAGAAAGGCAAGTTAGAATAATATCTTGAGGAGCCACATCCTTCAATAAATAAGAAATAGACTAAGTAAACCTAAATTGAGCAAGTGAAGTAGATAATGTAGAATATTATTATCTTGATGCATGTGGTAGGTCATAAATAGACGTGAAATTTGCAAACAATGGGACCTTGATGAGTGAGAGGCTCCCTATGACGATGATAACCTTGAGAAGTTCATGTAGACCTCTTCATATAGGTCACTACAAAGAAAGACATTATTTACATCTAATTGGATTAGATATCAATTATGTTTTGCAGCAGAAGTAAGCATCAATTCTATGGTGACAAATTTAACATTATGTGAGAAAGTTTCTAAGAAGTTAATTCCTTCTCATTTAGTATGTCATTTTGCTACAAGATGAGCTTTAAAATGTGCAATGAATCCATCAAAATAATATTTGACTTTGTAAATCTAGTGGCAACTAATAAGATATTTTTCAACCAGTAAAGAAACGGTAGACCAAGTATTGGTTCATTCTAGTGCATCAAGCTCAAGCATCATTGGCTCTCGTCAATGAGGGTAAATAATTATTTGATAATAAAATTGTGACTCATTATCATAAGAAGTAGTAAAAACAAAGCCTTTGTATGAAGGGGAAAGAGAAGTATAAGAGGGAGCTTTAAAAGGAGGATATCAAATTTTGATGTGAAGGTTCCGTGGATGGAGACCAAGGTTACAATGAAAATCTTGATGGTAAGAAGAGTCTTTATGAAGGCAAGAAGAATGGCATAATGGATATTGTAGGAAAGGTTAGATTAATGGAGTTGAATCAATAGGGGAAGAAGTGACGGTGGATGTGGGAAGAATGTTTGTATTGATAGTCGGGAGAACTATGGGAAATGATCTAAAGATGAGTCAAATTGTTGGATGAAAGAGAAATGTAAAGGAAATGTAAGAAAAATATAGTTTCATTAAAAATGACACCTTGAGAAATGTAAAATTGTTTATTTTCAAGATCATAGAATTTGTATATTTTCATTCATGGAAGATAGTAAATGAAAATTGAAGCTTGAGCATGTGGTTGGAACTTATGTTTATTTGTTAGGAGAGGGGACCTAAATGTTAAGCATATGACGACATAAAATATTTAGTCAACATATTTGCCATAGAGTAATTCATATGGACTTTTGTTGTATTAAAGAGGTGTGGGCAATCAATTAATAATGTAAGTGATTGTGAGAACACAATTTGTCCAAGAGTAATGTGTGATTGAAAAATTAAAGCTCAAGCAACATTGAGTAAATGTTGATGCTTATGTTTCATGGTTAAATTTTGTTGAGGTCTATCAATATATGAATATTGATGTACAACATCTTGAGTGCTAAAATATTTATTATAATTAAGTTATTTGGCATTACCTAAAATGTTTAATATGATGATTAAATTGGGTTTGAACTATAGTAAAGAATAATTTCTTTTGTATTTGATTTTATTTTCATGTGAAATGTCCATGTAAAATATGTCAAAATCATCAACAATTATAAGAAAATATAGATATCTAGAATAGCTTATAGTAGAGAAGGTTCCCCAAATTTCATATAGATTAAATCAAATGGACTGTCAAAGAGGTGATTATGACAAACAAAACACAAGTGATGTTGTTTTGTCAAAAGACAAACATAACATGGTTCTTGTTCATCATATAACTAAGAGACAATTGACAAATGATCATGTAATGTTTTAAAGATTTTGGGTGACATGTTTGAATCTATTATGTCAAATGCAAAACAAAATATTATGAGCAAAAGAGAAATAGTGACAATGATATGCAAAAAATAATAAATGTTATGTTTTCAAAATATAAAGGTCATCAACATAGACAACCTTATCAACAATTATCTTGTGATATAAATCCTTGATCGCCAAGTAATCAAAAAAATATATGAACTTCAACTTCTAAATATGTTGTTAAGTTCACCTAGATATGTTATATTATATTGGACCTACATGATAAATAAGTCCTTTCAATATCAAAGATGAATTTAATACTATATCACCAACAAGATTAACAACGATGATCGTACCATTAGGCAAAGTAAGAGAAGAATTTCATATAGGTCACAAGGAAATAAAGACATTGGCAGCATAACATGTATGTTTTCTAACACTAGTGTTAATGATCCACACTTTCATGGAGAGATGATTAGAATTTTGAGTGACTAAGAGACATACTTGTAATGTATGAGGTTATAGGTGTACCTTGTGATTTGTTATTGTTGATGTGAAGTGTGATGACAGCATGATCATCAATTATTGATATCGATATGGAGTAAGATCTTTCAAGAAAGGTTTAATTATATGCAAAGATTGTTCAGTTTGATTTATTGTTCTAGATTGCATAAAGCTTGGTCAACAAGCATTGACTAAAATTTAGATTTTTTGACTTACAACTTCGGGGCTAGCCATGAAGCTTATAACATTTATCAATGGTGTGTTCAAAAATTAAAATAAGTGTAATAAGGATCATCATTTTTTTTATTACAACTGGAATGTGATGTATTTTTTTGAAATGTTGATATACTTATGACAAGTGGATGTAGCAGCATATGTAACATAATTTGAGGTATCATTATTTGAAGGTAGAGTATTAATTTATCTTTGATATTTTTCTTGTAAACTTAAAGGCAAAAACTTTGTTGATTGGATGAATGGGGTTAAAGTAATAATTGAACTCTATTTGAGAAAATGAATCATTCAAACCCATGAGAAAAGACATGACATATTTTAATTGAAAAAAATTAACAAATATTTCACTCTACCACATGTACCTTTTTCATGTGAACAAAAAGGCCTAAAATTATTATATTCCTCCCACAATGTTTTCAATTTTGTGATGTGAGTTGCAATTGTATCATGTTCATGTTTATGATTCACCAAATCATGACTTAATTGAAACAATTTAGGGCCATTATTTTGTTGTAATCAATATCTGTGATCTTCTCAAATTTCTTGTGCTAATTTTTAAAAAATAATACTGGCAGAAATATATTTTGAAGCTGAATTTGAGATCCATGACATGACCATATTGTTCTTTCTTTCCCTGGATGAAATAAATGAGATATCAACCCCATCAATTTTTACTATTGATTTGTCGATGAACCTAATTTATTCTTCACTGATAATACAATCAACATAGTTTGACGCCAAAATTCGTAATTATTTAGTTTAGTGAGTGCTTGTGATACTAAATTTAGACCATATCTATCTAAATAATGGAGAAAGAAATGACTCAACTGATCATCCATAATGAGCTGACTCTTGGACAAACTTGTGGAATTATGAATTTAGCCATCATAGTAGTGACTGTGGAATCCAAAAGCAAACTAGAATGTTTAGAAGAATGTTCTTAATTAATGAGAGGAAGGAGATATAAGAAAAAATTGAATGATCAATTACCTTATACATTAATAGAAAAAGGAGAAAATCTCATACTCACTAATTTTTCTTCTAGGATTAATGCTAGAAATGGAAAATGTGGCCCGAAGACAAGTTGTGGTCAAAACAACCTCATTGAAGCTTTGATCCTCCTTCATGAACTTGATTCCTTATTCTTAATCCTAGTAGGAAAAATCTTACTCTACAATCATATTATGGTCGGCAAGAAGTTCTTGCATGCTAGGGAGAAATGGGAAAGGAATGGATGAAAATCGTTCATTCATTAACCTAGGTTTCTCCTTAACATGATAAATGGTCCTCATGTGTGAGGGGTCACATGATGGTTCCCTAAAATAAAAATATTTTATTGTACGCTATGAATTTATGTTAATGTTTTGGTCAGAATATAAACCTAACAAAACTGCATATGTTAAGTGGTTCACTAAAAATGTAATTACCTGTTATTTTGTTAGACTCTTATACCATTAATAAATTCTTGGGCCTTCAAAATGTAGATGAATTTGATGTTGAGGTATGAGATGGAATGAGCCTACCAAGTTGAACTGGTTTCTAAGTCACAACTTGGTAATTAATTATTAAGCAAAGTTTATGCCCAAGTGGAGACAAGCCTTCACTTGTACAAGTGTGAAGACTTCAGGACAAGTTTAATACTCAGAAACTTACGTCGATTTACCCAAAGTCAACGTTTTTCAATACTCTTTGATTGGTTCTTAGGAATATGATGAGGTACAAGCCGAAGATTGTTGTGAAGGAATATGATTAAAGATGTTAGTTCATCCTCCCGATTTTCAACTATCTTGTGATGTCTAGTTCACTAGTTGGTGATCATGAGCCATATTTGGGTTCTGGTTTCTTACTCTTTCTAAACAGCTGGCTCCATTTTGTTTCATTCCTACGGATTAAATCTACGATTCATTTCAATATTAGTTCTATTTGCCTGTGTAACTAATCCCCTCCAGTCCCCCCCCCTCCCTTCTCCTCTGGGCTCAGCAGGGCGGCATCAGTGGGGCAAGGCATGTACGCCGATCGCCATGGGGGTTCTTCTCCTCCCCAGGCTCTTCTCCGCCGCCGCCGCCGCCGCCGCCGCCATGGATCTTCCTCCGGCGACAAGGAAGAGGAGAAACTTCTCCCGCATCTTCCAAGAGTGCGCCGCCCAGGTGGACCTGCCCGCCGGCATGGCGGCGCACGGTCGCATGATCATCTCCGGCTTTCTCCCCACCTTCTTCGTTGCCAACTGCCTCCTCCACATGTATGTCCGCTGCTCTCGACTCGACCTCGCGCACCATTTGTTCGACCATTTGCCCCACAGGGACACCGTCACCTGGAACATCCTCCTTGCCGGCCACGCCCACGCCGGCGCCGTCGCCGCCGCGAGAGCCCTCTTTTCCGCCATGCCCTCCCGCGACGCCGTCTCCTGGAACTCGCTCATCTCCGGATACTCCCTCGCTGGCGACCACCACCAGTCCCTCGCCCTCTTCTCCGAAATGCGCCGCAGCGGCACCGTCGGCATGGACCGCACCACCGTCGCCATCGTCCTTAAGTCCTGCTCCGCCCAGCAGCACTCCGAGCTGGGGAGCCAGCTCCACGCCCTCGCCGTCCGCGCGGGCTTCGACTGCGACGTCATGGCCGGCACCGCCATTGCAGACCTCTACGCCAAGTGCGGTCTCCTAGGGGACTCTCTCCGTCTCTTCCACGGCTTGCCGGAGAAGAGCCCGGTTTCCTGGAGCACCGCCATCGCCGCCTGCGTCCTCAACGGCCGCCTCACAGACAGCCTGCAAATCTTTAAAAGAATGCTACGGGGAGGGCTCCCGGCGTGCCAGTCCGCGTACGCCAGCACGTTCAGGGCCTGTGCCGCCGTGCCGGATGCGCGCTCCGGCGAGCAGCTCCACGCTCACGCCTTGAAGTGCGACTTCAGCGGCGACGCCATCGTGGGCACCGCTATCCTCGACATGTATGCCAAGTCCGGCGAGCTGGAGGAGGCCAAGAGGGCGTTTCGGCTCCTGCCGGAGCGCGGTTTGCAGTCGTGGAACGCCATGGTGGTCGGCCTTGGCCAGAGCAGCGAACACCACCACTCCTTGGAGCTGTTCCGGCAGATGAAGCGGACTGGATTCGGCGGCGACGAGGTCACCTTCTCCGGCGTGCTGAGGGCCTGCGCGGGCGCTGGAAGCGCCGCCGAGGGCGCGCAGGTGCACGGCCTGGCCATCAAGGGCGGCCTCCATTCCGACGTCTGCGTGGCCAACGCCACGGCCGACATGTACGGGAAATGTGGCATGCTGGAGGAAGCATACGCCCTGTTCGATGAAATGCCTAAGAGAGACGCCGTCTCCTGGAACGCCATCATCGCCGCCCTCGAACAGAACGGGAGGTACGAGGAGGCTCTTTCCCACTACAACCAGATGCTCCGCCATGGGTTTTTCCCTGACGAGTTCACCTTCGGGAGCGCCCTCAAGGCCTGCGCCAGCCTGCAGTCCCTGCATGGCGGGGAGAAGATCCATGGCAGGGTCGTCAAGGCCGGGCGAGGGCTGGATCCGTTCCTGGGCAGCGCCCTCGTCGACATGTACTGCAAGTGCGGGCTGCTGGAAGAAGCTCTGCAACTCCATGACAGGTTGGAGGAGCAGACCAACGTCTCCTGGAATGCCGTCATCTCCGGCTTCTCCCTCCAGAGGAGGACCGAGGAGGCCCAAATGCTCTTCTCCAGCATGCTGGACCTGGGTCTGAAGCCCGACAGCTTCACCTATGCCACAGTGCTGGATATCTGCGCGAACCTCGCCATCGCCGGCCTGGGGAAGCAGGTCCATGGCCAGATCGCCAAGCGGCGGCTGGAGCGAGACCTCTTCGTCTCCAGCACCGTGGTCGACATGTACTCCAAGTGCGGGAACATGGAGGACTCCCTGCGCATGTTCGAGGAGTTGCAGGAGCGGGACGTCGTCGCCTGGAACGCCATGATCGGCGGGTACTCGCAGCACGGTCTCGGGGAGGAGGCGTTGAGGATCTTCGCCAGGATGAGGGCAGAGAAGGTGAACCCTAACCAGGCCACCTTCGTCGCAGTTCTCCGGGCCTGCGCCCACATCGGCTCGCTCGAGGAGGGGATGACCCACTTCAGCTCCATGTCCAGAGACTTTGGAGTCGACCCGCAGCTGGAGCACTATTCCTGCATGGTGGATCTGCTTGGCAGGTCAGGGAGGCCCCGGGAGGCGATGGAGCTGATCCTCGGCATGCCCTTTGAAGCCGATGCCGTCATATGGAGGACGCTGCTCAGCGTCTGCAGGGCCCGGGGGTACCTGGAGATGGCGGAGGTCGCCGCCGGCGAGGTCCTGCGGCTCGAACCAGAGGACTCCGCCGCCTACGTGCTCCTTTCCGGCGCCTACGCGGAGGCGGGTAGGTGGGATGAGGTCTCCAGGCTGCGGCGGACGATGAGGGAGCGGAGGATGAAGAAGGAGCCGGGCTGCAGCTGGATTGAAGTGGAGGGCGTTGTGCGGATGTTCCTCGCCGGCGACGAGGGTCGCCTCGCGTGCAGGGCGATGTGTGATGCTCTTGATGCACTCGCCGGCGAGATGAAGAGGTCTGGATATGTGCCCAGTTTTAGTTTAGATCCCCTCATCGAAGAAGCGGCAGAAGAAGAAGAGGAAGGTGATGATGAACACGAAGAGATAATCCCTCTCATCTACTGAAACCTGCGAGATAACCTTCTTCCTTCTGGTGATTAAACCATACGAAAATGCAGCGACCTTGTACAGATTGGCCTGGTGCATGCGAAAACAATGGGAAAAGAGACCAGCGATCGTGACAATGACAATAGTGTTGGGTGTTAGGTGGCGGACGGAAAACCCTCGTTCTCGATCTCACACCTGCCCTTCAGATGTACTTAATTTTTTTTCTTGAGGCATAAAATTGTCAAATTATTTCACGGTATTTCTCGTGTGTACAAGGGCCATGAAGATCATTCTTCAAGCTTTTGCAGATGGTTCTGGGTTATCCTCATCTTATGAGAATTATCTTTAGAAAGTTGTGAATATACGGAATCAACTTATTACAACATTTAGACCCCAGTTGTATAAATATTTCTTCAGATATAACTTGCTAAGTTGTGACTTTTTTCCACCCATAAATACTTGGTAATTTATTCGAACTATAGTCTCAACATTAACAACATTATGCCTCACATGATCACATGGAATATCAAATATTTGACAAATATCTACATGGTTCGAAGGGGCCCATCTTCACGCACTAGGTATGGGATAAATCGAACATATTATATATATATGTGGAATAAAATACTCTTCCCTGGATAAGAAGTGAGTTCATCCAGCGCATGGAATATATGGCATGTGTTTAAGAGAGAGAGAGAGAGAGAGAGAGAGAGAAAGGCCGAAACGGGCTCCCAGTCGCCCGCAACGGGGCGTGAGAGAACCGCGCGCAGGAGCCCTACTAACCGAGTCAATCTTATCATGCAGCGCCTCCGCCGCGCCATCTGTGGCTGTCCTTGTTGCCGGAAGCCGTAGCCGGAGGGACGAGGCGAGGCCCCATTTCAGGCGGACCCCGGATGAGGAAGCTCTGTCCGAATTTCGACAGGGAAGATGGCCTCGAGACCGTCTTCGAGGTCCCCATCCCGGAGGAGATGTTCGCCGGTGGCGCCCGTTGTCAGCAGGCGGTGGCCTCGTGGCTCAGGTCGCCAGCCTGCGGCGGCGGCGCAGCCACGGCCCCCCTCGCCGGTCGGAATGCCGAGTTGCAGCTCCTCCTCAACGTCGTCGGCTCGCCGCTCGTCCCCTTCCCCGTGCCCGCAGACCCCTCGGACGGCACGTCCATCCGCAACTGTTCTTCCATCGTAAGCCCTTCTCGCGCTTTCATCGATCGAAGATTCACCTAAAAAATAGACACAAACAAGCTAGAGATGGATTATTCCTTCCCCGAAGGGGATAAATCTCCTGCGACCCTCGTTTTTCTTCTTCGTTGTTTTCCGTCCAAAAAAAAGGAAGAAGAAGATTTTGTTGGGTGGAAATCTATCGGAGTATTGGATAATGACGTAGCACGAAAGTCCTTTGGTCAACAATAGACGCCAACAAGTTGGCGATTATTCCCTCCCCGAAGGGAACAAATCGCCCCCGATCCTCGTTTTCTTCTTCGTCGTTTCTCGTAGAAAAAAAAGAAGATTTTTCTGGTTGGGATTGGATAATGACGCATCAAGAACGTTCCTTTGGCTTCCGGTCAACGGCAGCAAGCGTCAACGGCTAAGTACATCGTCCAGCAGTACACGGCGGCGACGGGGGGGCAGGCGGCGCTGAACGCTGTGCACAGCATGTTCGCGCTGGGGAAGGTGACGATGAGGGCATCAGAGTTCCGCATGGGAGACGAGGAGGCGGTCTCCACCAAGGGGAACGCAGAAGTCGGCGGCTTCGTCCTGTGGCAGAAGAACCCCGATCTCTGGTTCCTCGAGCTCGTCCTCTCCGGCTGCAAGCTCAGCGCCGGCAGCGACGGCAAGCTCGCCTGGCGGCAGTCCTCCTCCGAGCAGTCTCACGCCTCGCGCGGCCCACCTCGCCCCCTCCGCCGCAGCCTCCAGGTAGATTTAGAGAGAGAGAGAGAGAGAGAGAGAGAGAGAGAGAGAGAGAGAGAGAAAGGCTATCTCAGTCTCTTCATCTATCTCACTCTCTCTCTCCAACTCCCTCTCGTTCGATCTCTCGAGAGCGCATCTCGATCTCTTTATCTATTTCATTCTCTCTCTCTCTCTCGATCTCTCGATCTCTCCAGAACCCATCTCAGTTTCTTTATCTATCTCATTCTCTCGAGGGAGAGCCAATCTTAGTCTCTTTGTCCATCTCATTCTCTCTCTCTCTCTCTCTCTCGCTCAATCTCTCGATCTTTCGAGAGCCCATCTCAGTCTCTTTATCTTTCGCATTCTCTCTCATCGGCGGCGCCGCCGGTGCAGGGGCTGGACCCGAGGGCGACGGCGGGGCTGTTCTCCGAGGCGGTGTGCATCGGGGAGAAGGTGATAAACAACGAGGACTGCTTCATCCTCAAGCTGGAGGCTAACCCGGCGGCGCTCCGGGCCAGGAGCAGCGGGAGTTTCGAGATCATCCACCACACCATCTGGGGCTACTTTAGCCAGAGGACGGGCCTGTTGACTCAGCTCGAGGACTGCCATCTTCTGAGGATGAAGGCCAACCGGAGAGGGGAGAGCATCTTCTGGGAGACCAGCATGGAGTCGGCCATTGAAGACTACAGGTACATCGACGGCATCAACATCGCCCACGGGGGGAGGACGATGGTCACCCTCTTTCGCTACGGCGAGGGATCCGCCAACCACAAGAGGAAGATGGAGGAGACCTGGTCCATCGAGGAGGTTGACTTCAACATCTTGGGCCTCTCCATGGACTGCTTCCTCCCCCCCGCTGACCTCAAGAAGCACCACGACGGCCAAGACAACCCCGCGGGATGAGGATGATGCTGATGATGATGATTTTACCGATCCACCCTACAACCCGCCTGACCTCAAGAAGAAATCTAATCTCCTTTCTCTCTCTCACACACACACACATATATTATCACGTACATCTTACTATAATCTCAAGTTCATATGATACCTGTAAAAGTCAACGTAATGAAGGAAATAATGTGGAGAATCGGACTCTTTTTTTTTTTCCTCAACACCAACGTGGGCTCTCACATGGATTCTGTCCTCCGTTTAATCTCTCTCTCTCTCTCTCTTCCTCTCTCTCCCTCCCTCTCTCTCAATCTCTCAATCTCTCCCACACACACATCTTTAATCATACATGTAAAACATAAGTTAATGATGGAAATAAAAGGTTGACTATCAGGCTCATTTAGTTTTCCTCAGTACCGAAGGTGGGATGACGGTGGTTAATCTCCATACCTTGTTATAGAACTCATGCTTCTTCTGATGGTTGGTCAAGTAACAAAAATGTTGTATGTTCCGGTACATCATTATGGATTGGATTAGTCTTTTTGGTGGCTATCCTTCATTCTCTTATCTCTTGAACTCTTTCTTCAGCATTTCCCCGATGCAAAAAAAGCCACTCCTTGTAATAAATTCGTATTTTGAAATAGATTTTAATTAAATCTGAGTTCCAAAACAAAGAATTCCATTTCTTTTGTTTTATTTATATTTAATATGAATCATATAATTGATATCATTTATTTTTTATAACTTATATGTTAGATATAAATAAATCATATCTCATCTTATTTTATTTGACTCGACACAAGGAAATAATAGTGTGAATTAAAAAAAATGAGAAAAAACCTACATTATTTATGCTCATAAAAATTAAAAATTTCAAAACTATTTTTTGGATATTTTTGCTTCACATTTTATAAAATATCACCACCCTCCTCTTGGTGCCATAATGCAAAATTAGAATATCAGAAATCTAATATTTATGTCCTGGGAAATCATTTTCTGGGATTGATAATTCCAAGAGAGCGGATTTTCTTCGCGTGTTTCTCGCGGATTTATAATTTCTGCATGTGCTCCCTTATCCGAGACTCTCGGAGTTGCCTCGATCTGCACGAATGGCATCCAACGGCTGATCTCCTGCCGGTGTTTCGCCGGCTGCGGCAAACTGGTGACGAAGTTTTGCATACCATCAGACGGTTCAGATTATGCCACGCTCATGATTTAATACTGCGGGCCCGCAGAAGTGTCGACACCTGAAAAATGGGTATTTTCGTAATTTCGCAGAGCGGACAAAAAATAAATGGTGCCTTCTGCGTCTGGTTCAACACAGAAGATCTCCCCTCTCTCTCCCTCTCTCGCTCTCGTTCTCGCTCTCGCTCTCTTGCAGGGGGGAGTGGTATCCATGGCGGAGGTTGTGGAGCTCCGCTCCGACGACTCGGCGGACGATGAGGAGGAGGAGGAGGAGGAGGAGGAGGAGGAGGAGGAGGAGGAGGAGATCGCTCCATGGACTTTCTCCTGCGAGTCTTCGTTGGATTCTAACGACGAGGTCCAATTCATCCGCCACACACGCCGCCTTGGTAACAGCGGGGGCGGCGAGGGCTCCGCCGTCGACTCTGGCATCTTCGTTCCCATTTTCTCGCCTCATTTCCAGTACATCTCGTCGCATCCCCTTGACCACGAGGTCCCATCGGGCTCCGATTATGAGTCCAGCTATGTCGACGACGATCCTGTGACTCTCCCCGTCAATCTGCTAGAGCGGCGCTCCCTGCGGCTGGATGATGATGGCGACGGTGGGGGCGGAGGAACGGAGGCGGATATCTTTCCCAACCCTGCGGATCCGTTGGATTTCGGGGTTCTTGACGGTGTAGAGGATACGGGCCCCGATTATCTTCCCTTGGGGCGAGGGTTAGGGTTTGGGATCGAGAACCCGAAGGAGGACGGGGAAGGTAGCTCGGAGGTAGATGTGGAGGAGGAAGGCTTGAACATGTTGTTTCGGCACGATTGGCAAGGAGTCTGGGCATCTGGCCATGCCGATGACAAACCGTCCAGCTCGCGGGACGGCCAAGGTCTGAGGATCGTAGGTTTCGGATCGGACTCTGACTCCGATGAGGAGGAGATCGCATCCAGCATTAGCTCACGTTACGACGGTGGGCGTGCTCCAGTAACGATGTTTGATGATCTGCGCCTTCCTGTCCCATGGAACAACCTTCGCCTCGTAGAGGACAGGAGAGACCTGAACGAGGATCTCGATTGGGAAGAAGTGGAAGGGAGGCTCAACGAGAGGGAGGTTCTCAGCGTGACGATCGGCTCCAACGATGGAGGATCCGTTGCACAACCAGAGGAAAGTGAAGACTTCGAGATCAGCGAAAGGGGCGAAGATTCAACGATTCCTCATATCGAATGGGAAATCCTCCTGTCTATGAACAATCTAGAGAGGAGCGCGGCGGCAGAGTATGAGGGCGTTGATGAAGACCACACTGACTTCGGCTACACCTCCGAGAACGAAATCCTGTTCGAGCAGTTCGCCGCCCTGGAGAACTTCATCAAGGGGAGCCCTCCCGCTGCCAAACTTGTGATTGAGCAACTTCCGTCCGTTGTTTTGACGCAATCGGACATGATGAACGGAAACACCCTGTGTGCGGTCTGCAAGGACGATATCTCTCTGGAGGAGAATCCGAAGCAACTTCCATGTTCCCACCATTACCATGCTGAGTGCATCCTACCATGGCTCAGAATACGGAACACATGCCCTGTCTGCCGCTACGAGCTGCCGACAGATGACCCTGATTACGAGCACCGGCGAGCATTTGGGGCCTTGGGAGGAATGCCTCTCGATCCTGAGGTAATGTACGAATTTGGAATCTTCGATTAAGATCAGGGAACCTGGAGAAAGCGTCCTTTTAATGGGTAGGAGGATAATTTCCTCGTCCCCTTGTGCTAAGATCATGATCCCGCCTTGATTCAAATCGTCACGTATTCGGTGATGTGCATGCCCGCATCACTCTAGGGTTTGGATTCCTGTTGGGATTCAGCTGCTGCAGATATCATCACACGATTGTATATTCGTTTGATTGTAGACAAATGAGTCAGAAGTGTTTTGATCTCCATCTGTAATTATTCATGCATACAACCAAATGATGTCTGTGTATTCTGTCTTCGTCTATCTTTGACCTGTATTTTTATACAAGGAATCGACCAACTGTGGGTTGCCTGTGCGTTCTACAAGTGCTCTCTAGACCTTCTTTTCCCAGATTTTCCGAAGTAGAGCAAGTGGAGTTGGCATCTCTACCTCAGATCATTGTAAGTGATGAGTTCTCAAACCCGGGTGCCGAGGCATCAATTATACTGAGAAATGATTGCTCTTTGTGCTGTACTGTCGTCTTATCATTGGGTTTTTGTATGTTCATCCCATTCTGAACTATTTATGTGGACTAATTAATCCACACGTATTGTTTGGATCGGAATAAGATATTCTTGAACTTTAATAAATATTGGATGAGAACAGTATTTGGTTCGGAACAAGAAATTCTTCAATTTTTATGGAATATTTGAATCAGAAGAAGATATTCTTCCGACTGTAAAGGTTGGTCTTCATTTTCCAAAAATTACGTTTATTAATCCTTTTTTTCTTGTTGCCTGGATGCTCAGAGCCGATCACTTCTTTCCCTACGGAATTACTTTAAAAGGCTGTAAGATCTTTTTAGTTTCGTCATGTAGATTAATTTTCAGGATCACTGGGTTTTCTCCCGAAATCATTCCTGTCCACAGCACCTGAGTTCTGGTTGAAGAAATAATTAGTCCTTCTGATCTTTGTGACATCCTGGTTAGTCTTCGAGAATTAGGAGTCCTAATTCTCCGACAATTTATCAGGCTCCACATAATTCATCATTTTTGGGCACAATGAGTGCCTTGTTCATGGGATCCTTTTGTTCTTCTCGCATCCTCCATTAATTTCTCTTCCTGGAACTGTGATCATATTGAACATTATTTCTTCTGCTCCAGCTTTCTCACTTATCTGTCACTTGGTGAGGGGAGATCTTGATGATCTCACAGACTTTTGAGAAATAAATAAGTTAACTATATATATAGTTGACAAGTCAATCACATAACTGGGAGATGAATTGTTTCCAATTCTAACTGCTCGTTGATTTCAAGCACTGAAGTTTAGCAAGAAGCTAAAAGTAGAGGTGCAACCAGTAGGGGGGGGGGGGGCTCCATTAGAAACCAGAAGAAACATAGGAAGAAAAAGGAAAAACCGAGCTGTTCTCCAAAGAGGCTCTTATTTAGGTGGTGCTGGTCTGTCTATGAACTGTGCGAGCAAGTTGATTATTAGGTCATCTTCAGTCTCGCTATGAACTTTCTCACTTCGTTGATCAGAGGGAGAGGATTCTCCAGATGCACTGCATGGCCGCTGTCAGGGACCTCGACGAGCGTGCAGAGGCTGTTGCTGCTGCTGAGAACTTCAGTGTCATCACCATCACCATCATCATCATCAGAGGTCGGTATTTCATTGAACATCTCCCGAGCAATGCGCTTGAACTTGGTGTCCTTCTCACCGAATACCAAGAGGATGGGCTTCTGGAGGGTCCTCAGTTCTTCCCACAGGGGCCTGCCATGAAATGAACCGAAGAGGGGGGTGAACAGACAGAGTGTGTCACTGCCTCTGCACACTCGTCAGATAGGAAGCGTGAGATGGGATGCTGAGGTCACCACCTGATGGGGATTTCATAAGCACAGCTGATGCATAGGAAGTCAGTGGGGGGGGGGGGGAGGGGAGGGGAGATTCCTAGCATTGCCGCAATTTTTATTTTATTTTTTATTTAATTCAGCGGAGTTTGCTGCTTTGAGGTGAAATATTTGATGGCCCACAGAGAGAAATCATTACATGAAGAAAAAACATTAGACTAGCGAGGAATATCTTACCGCTGCCTCCCAATGCTTAATCCAGATAGAGCTTGCGCAAGAGCCTGGGCATCGCCTTGCCTTTGGCGATTGCTGACGATTTTTCTGAAGTGAGGGTGATCTCGTAAACTGTCACATGCAACACGCTGTCACTTGGATAGAAAAAAAACCCAGCTGGCTGGAAGATATTGGAGTCACAGATCGATCGGTTAAGTATGCATCAGGCGAGCCATACATGTTGGTGACAACCGGAAGTACAACACGAAAGTGATTTAGGTGCAACTCGTGCATGATTCAAAAAATGTAATCTAATCACGTGTTCCACAAATTTATTGTCAAACCAGAGGACGAATCTTTGCTTCATAGAATCTTTTAGCTTCATGAAACACTTGATTATCTCCAAAATATGAGTTAATTATTCAATTCAGTGATTGGTTAAGTTGAGGTTTCCTACAAAGTCAATTTAGTTTAGATAGTTGTAAATTTTCTCATAAAATTATTAGAGCTCCCATCGTTCTACTTCATATATCTTTAATTGCATTAATGTGGTAATATGTAAGATCTTTAGATTGTGTTAATAATATTTTTATTAGGATAGATTTTCTCAACCCTAAACCTTAAACCCTAAAGCATTAATGGGATATATTTGGAAATCACCTGTTCCACAAGTCTCCTGCGTACCAGGTCTTCAGAAAGCACTCCAAACCGTGGGAAGACAAGTAGCGAGCCCTCGCATCATCTTGTGCGAGTCGGGTTCTTCTGACTGCATCATCCCTTATCCCTGGGCTCCCAGATATCAGCACCGTTCCCTCAATCTGCATGGAATTTTCGCCGATCAGAGTGAAACAATCAGAGCAAGATAGTAGGATCAAGTCTGAATGGAATGTGATGATCAGCAGACCTTGTCTCTGTACTTAGTTGCCATGTACAAGGCAATTCTCGCCCCCATTGAATATCCCACGAGGACAACCTTTTTCTTAGTGGCATCAGAGAGCAACTTGTGCAAAATATCACCAACCAATTCAACGGACATACTACTGGCCCCATTTTCCACTTTCCATGCTATTTCTGATTCCCCGTGTCCAGGAAGATCAACAGATATGCATCGAGTACTGGCTGACAGAGCCTTCATTATTGGAATCCAATCGTCACCAGCACCAAGAAAGCCGTGGAGAAATACGGTCACTTGATTCTGCGGCGAGTCAACCATGAGACCCATAAGAAATTATCTTTCTCTCCCACAGATGTAATTTAATGGCTGGAAAAATCGGTATAAACTTTCCGCATGCTCCTAAAATGAAAGTTAGTGGCTCGTCGAATCATTTATTAAATCTTGAAGGAAAAAAAAGGAAGATGATCCGAGTGATCAGATGATTCAAGCATAGTTTTTTTTAAAAAAAAATCATGCTCTCACAAGATAATGATGAATGATTTGCAATGATCACTAGCATCTAGCAAACACTGTGGCCTTTAAATAACTGTGCACTGAAAAAAAATGGTCAACAACAATATTCAGTTCAGCTTTCCTTCCATTTATAAATATAAATTTTTCGAGGGCTTTCATTCCAAAAGTAAGCAAGTAACTCGTGTGAAGAACGAGCTGTCATCTGAGAGCTTGGGCTCATCCACCTGTAAATGCTCATTGATTGTTGGATGCCCCTGACCAGCAAAACAGGACCCACGGAGACATGGCATTTAAAGATTTGAACGGTTTACATAGACTTTAATCTTTATCTGGAGGAGCGTATTAGTATTAATTTTTTAATCATCTGTATTGCCGTTCACTTTATTTCTCCGATCAGACTGGGAGATTACTGGAGAATCATCATGAAAAATTAGCATTTGAGTAGTTTCTTTTCGTCCTTTTTCTGACTGATTTTTCACATACTCCACAACAATAGATGATCTTCAAGGAAGTCCATCCTAGGCGTCTAGTGTCAGATCAGATACTACTATGCATGTATAATCATGAAAAGGTCGTCTGATCAATGATCATTCATCTTTTAGACCTTGAATCTCATGGATCAACCATGTATCAAAGTTAATAGATCAATAGATCAATAGATCTATTAACCATATATTCAAACGTTTCTATATGGAACATGCTTCTGCAGCCATGTATCAAAGTTAAACCAGTAAACGTTCATCAACAACCACATATTCAAAGCTATATTACACAGCTCTACCAAAACATAAGCAAGAAAACTGTTTTCTACATCTTCCATGCTAAAGAGTGCAATCCAATGTGAAGATTAAAGTTAGAAAATCCATTCGAATAGGCCCAGTATCATGTTAGTGTGTTTCGAGAGCGGTTTGGAATATGGACCCCATTAGGTCCATTTTAGGTCTTAACATGTACTACATCTCCGCTCTAGTAATAAACGGGTACAGGTGAGGAAGGTGGCCAAGATTTGTAACCCCAGTCTGATATCCTTATTTCTTCCAGCACTATTAAACTGAAAGGCATACTAGCTCCAACCAGATCCAACTCATTTTTATACACTTGATACTCATGAATCACTAAATTCAAAAAGATTGTTAAGTCTATGGCAATATGGCTTGGCAAATCATCAAAAGTGCATTTAGAAATTCTAAATGATGTTGAGACCAAATTTATAAGAGCCTTTGTACAATGATGCCGCTAAGAAGATGAAATGAGATCAAGCCTAAATGCTCTTATTTCGCCGCAAAACCTATCCTTAAATGTGATGTTAGGGACTGAGATTCTTACATCTGCAATTCCAACCTCTTGGACCTTGATAGAGCAGGAAAAATTCACATCGTCAAGGGTCCATCTGTATGGCTTCATTTGCTCCCCGCAATAACTTCTATGGATAGTTCTTTTGTCAGTTTTGAATCTCTGAAGCAACCGTCCTGCATCTTCTACGGAAGCTTCCATTATATTTCCATTCGGATGAGTAGAAACACTGATTGTTTCGGCTGCTAAATCTTCTTTCAGCCATCTGTACGTTCCAAGACCATGGGCAGTCACTGACCTTGGTTCGTTTCCCCTAGCCGTTGATATTGCTGCTGCTTGGCACTCGAGATGGTATGAAAATAGAACATATGATGCCAGACTCAGACTACTTTCAAATGCACTGCTAATAACAGCCATCTTCTCGTGTTGCTGTGCCCACTGCGCAATTAGAGCTGCATTTTCAAATCCCCCAACCACACTCGGCTTGATAACCTAAAAGAAAATAAAATCAGGTCATAGGAACTTGGATGACATACGACATTTAGATAATTATATGCAACTTAATTTGTACTTACAACAGCAACAATTCCTGGGTGAACAAATTTTTCCAGCCTACGGAGAAGATCGCCTTTGATATTGTCAATGGTTTCATCTAGTGCAACAGATAAATTAGTTTCTTTGCAGAATTTAATAATATCTTCCTCGAATTGCACAGGCTCCTGAAACAATTGAAGTAAAATTAAGGTTAAAACACTTTCAGTTGATTGATGCTTAGAGAACACAGCCAATGAACACAGCGTTTGTGGTCCCAATCATATTTCAAAAAATATGCAATAATTGGTCCTGCTTTCTGTTTGAGGTCATCGAAATACACTCACGAAAGCAAAAAAAGACATTGCAACTTGCATCAAACTGGACTTTACATCTATTAATTCCAATGTAAATTGTGGGAAAAACGTTTAATTAAGAATTTCCTTAACCCGGGTAGTTTACTTTTTTTTTACCAGGGTAATTGTATATAACTAGCAATTATTCTAAAATTTGTGCAGTAAAAGAGATTTTTCCTGACTGTTTATCCTTGTACGCTTTGCATCAGAAATCTAAAAGATGATAGCGTTGTTTTTCTTTTTTTTCCTTAATCGAGAAAAGAAAAGAGTACTGCAGTAGGACTACATTGTGACACAAATATAGGTAGAAAGTACGACAGCACAGAAACTAGATGAATTTCATAGAAGCTTAGAAAAAAGTGTTCTTGGATTCAAAGATGCATAGATTTTTGGTAAAAGGCGAATAAAAATGTGAGGAAGAAAAATGCAGATGGAGAAGCACGAAGCAAGAATTAAGAGAAGTGTCTAATTTAAGGTGTATATCTCAGGTGTAAATGCATCTGTGTTTACTGGAAGTTACGATTGGATGTCTTTGAATGAAGTAGTCAAAAGAAGGGCAGAAAATATTTGAAGATGTATGGGTGTCAGAATCTGGAGTCCGTTTATCTGGGAAATAAGGTCACTTCCTATTTCAAAGAAACTTTTTGGGGCTACATCCGTTTCCTTAGACACCTCTAATGAGCGCCAATTCTTCTCTCGTATCTTGACACTCATTCAACACATTGGACTACATGTATCCATCGATATAGAGTATCTGAACCATGTAAAACACTTGTGTTCACGAGTGATTGTTTCTCTACCTTTTCTCTGATCTTCTCTCTTCCCTATCCCCTCCTAGGGTTAGGAGGCATCATCCCCATGACTTGGGTGCATCATTATTCGACGAACAGCCAAGATATTCAGTTTATGATAGAATCCTTCGTAAGATCCTAAAGTTTTTCTTATTTAGCAAATAGGACCAGTTTTCCTCCCATGATGATAGAAGACTTTCATGAAAGCAGCCTTTGGTCACACTTTCCAACCCTCAATCTGTCAATCTATGAACAAACAAACCCAGACACAAGAAAAAATACTAAATCTGATTTTTGGAATTAAACCTCCTATAACCAATCTAGGGAAGAGTGCAAAGTCAATTTTTAAGATCTCTGAATCAGATGAGTTAAGCGGATTGGGTAGGTACTCAAATTCATCTTTGGGAGGAATCAACCCTTCGAACTGGACTCTAGGTTTGATTCGAGAATGAATCAAGAATGGCCCATTCCCTGGTCCAGTCTGACAAGCAACCATACATGCTATATGCAACAAACTTCCACCCGCCCTATCATGAAAGGTGTTTATAGTTTTTCTACCAGTTACTGTGACACTGCGAAAACTTTTGTATCCTTTTCCACTACATTTATGCCACCCTATATTTTTTTTCCAATATTCATTTAGCAACATATGGAAGATTCAAATCCATAGCAGTCCAAGAAAGAACTAAGCCAGGATACAAGGGTAACTTGATTTCAGAACAATAGTTCATAGGGTTTTGAAATCTGGAGAGAACATGCAACCAAATAATAGGGTTCTCATTTACACATCTCTTTAAACCATTATATAATATGGATTTCAACAAGGAATAATAATAAAAATATAGGCCAAGAATAAACTTTTATCCTTCAATTTTTATCAGATCAGTAATACCAATGCCACGGGTTGCAATGCAATTAAATTATACCTCAATGTACTGTAAGGAACAATGTTTTACACGTGATCCAAATAAGACAGCTTCTTCATACGACCAGTTTCTATTGGCATCCACACGTAGATTGATTTCATGCCCAATCCTGTTTCTGATTTCTTTCACAACAGCGGCATCTTCTAGTGGATCTTTTCGACGAGCAACCTGATGTACGTCGTTCTGTTATTACTGCTTCTGAGATATATTTGAATGTCTATGAAAACGATGATGCGGTTTACCATAAGCATCAACTCAAAAAATCAACTGGAGCAAACGAAAAAAGACCTCGGGATTCACAAAGCATAATTGGTTGAGTAATCTTACCTTCAGCTTTATTGTAGTGAAACCTTCGGCCACCATCTGCGAGACAACGTGAGAAACCTCCTCTGGAGTACCATTACAATCTACAAGAGCACAAACTTGGATGCCAGACCGTTTCATTCTAACATCATCAGTTTTCACTGAAAGGGATGAGATGTTTACAGATGGCTCTGCATATCCGAATACTGTATCACAAAAGCTGGAACCTCGTTGTTTAGCTAGTGCAAGAAGCACTGCCATTTCAATGCCACAGCGAACACTTGGAAAGATTGTTGAAGGCTAAAAACGAAGAAACCGAAGGAATAATGTTAGCTAATTTCATAGAAAATGACAATATTTATGAGGTCAATTACAATTTTTTTCATTAATTTCACCCACCTTTATTCCTAAATACCTCCAAAACCACGAAGAAAAGGAACCCCTAAGTATAGGGAGAAGATTGTTGATCTCTGATCCTTCAATTACATGAACAAGAAATCTCAATTGTTCCTCAACATCTTCTAAATTTTCTTTGTGAATACCAATTGGGGCAACCTGTTGCAAATCCAACCGTTAAGATTAGAAAAAATCGATTACAAATAATTCTACAACAATAAGTAACAAAACATTAGGTGGAATTGATTTCAGTAAGATAAAAGAAGGGAATGATGTTCGTTAATTGTGTGAAATATGAATCTGCCTATTTTTATCATTAATATGGTGAGGGATAACCCAACATTGTGACAGGTAAACCAGGAGGTGGTGGGGCAATAGGTATCCACGGTCATCATTTCATTGCCTGGCGGATGAATAACATTTGTCAATCAGGTATCTTCATCAAAAATGATTTCGGAAGTGTACCACATCCAAGTAATCAATAAACAGAGGGACTGCTGATGCAAAAGGGTAAGATTCTAGTAAAAGAGTCCGAGTCCAGCCCTGCTAAGTTGCTACAGTCTACTGACAATTAGCTAATCCTAAAAGGATACAACTGCAATGTAGAACTCAGGAAAAAACAAAAATGGAATTTAATTAGCATTCAATCGGTATGGATATGGGTCTGGATGGAAATATAGAGGATACAAGGTGACCCACTCCTTGCTGTTCCCTTAAAAAAATTATTGAACTTGGGTCCTCAGTTCGACTAAGAAAAAAAGATTTCATGAATCTTGCAAGCTATTATTGTCATCCTGGATGCTCATGCATATTTAATCAAGAAGCAGATTTATTTTTTTTCCCAACAAAGGAGGCATCTTTCTGGTATTTTGCATTTTCATAACGATGGGAACCACGACTTCCCATTTTGATTAGCTAACATTTTCTCCAAAAAAATAATAAACACGGTGTTCCATAATCAAGATGACCACCAATATTAACATCATGGATAGGCAGTGGCCACATCACATTCCCCTGCCTCAGGGGAAGAGTAGAACAGGGAAGTCAGCAGATGAAATTCAGCTGCAAATGAGACATATAGTCCAATTAACATCTTGTGTTTCTATTTTTTATTATCCAATAATTACCTAAATAAATGTGAACATTATGAATGTATTATACACCGTCAATAATAAGTGCAGCACCACATCTTAAGTGGGGTCACACGTGAGCTGAAAGAATTCGTTAACCCATTTGGGGTACAACGACTTTGAAGTTTCTGTTCAGATAAATGGTACGCTAGGATCATAGACCAACAAGTCATATCTAGGTTTTTAAGTAGCTCTCCTTTTTTTTCGTATTTGGCATCTAGAGCTCTGTATGAGGTGTTAAATCATTGGACTATTCAATTCAATACAAATTGGCGAGAGCGGAATCCATATCTCTATGCATAAATCACATCATTTTATTCATTCATTATAATGTATAACTATTTTAGCACGCCCTCTTGTGTGGAAACCAACTTCTAAACGTCACAAAAAATGAGGTACATGGAAACTATCAACAACCATTCATTCTTGTAACATGTTAGGATTGTCCAACTCGAACCCAGTTGACAACGAGTGGAGAGGGTACACCAAGGTAGACACAGTCTCTGATGTGAAACAAAACAGACATGCAGTTTCTTGAACAGAAAGGCAGCTATGAGAGTGACTCTCCAACTCCACGACCCAAGTTTTTCTGTCTTCTCAACTTTTTTCTCTTCTTCGCCCCCGATATGTGATCAATAGTTCTCTTCAACTTGGGAAGATATATGTGTGCATATATTCCAAAGATTTTGGGGTCAATAAAGAAATCGATGAGGAAAAGCAAATAAAGAATATTCATATCTACGAGAGTTTTGGTTTAAAATATACGGGATGACGCATTTGGTGGTCTTTCATCTACAGAAAAGTCCTATAATGATCAGATTAACCCGGCCCCAGACAATCCAACAAGCTGTGCTGAAAGGCTCAACATTTGTTACAACTCATGTCAAAACACGTCACTCAGTCTCAATATCCACGTGATGGAATTATTCAAGTAAAACGGATCAAAAAAAATTAGTCATCCTGAATAGTATAACGGACTCTAAATAGCACAACAGTCAGGGGGCACGTGTTTCCTATGATTTTCGAAAATCTTTCTAAATTAGCTGGTTGAACAACGCATTGGCCATTCCTTAAACCATGCAGACCCGAAAAGGCCATACAGAAGCTACTGACAAGGGTGACGATGAATCTTAATGTATTAGTACTGTAGGCTAAAAAGGCTCCAAGACTATAGAGTCATCCATAAAGAATCAAATCTCAACCATTTCATGAGAGATAAACTTATTTTCCCCACTTGAACTTTCGAAGCCTGCCTCTAACTTATGGCATTATCGTCTGGTAAGTATGCTAAAGGAGTCAACAGATTTGCCAACCTCTTCATCTTGAAGGTTGCTTCACTATCCTGGGAAGCAACACGTTCTCCAACAGTATTTAAAGGTTTTTACTGTTTTAGATTGATCTTTCACTGTGCCTGAAAGCATCTGAATTATAACCTCGATGGTTGAAGATCCCCTATTTTTCCCTTCGAAGCTTTTTGGAACCTCTAATATATTCCAAGCCTTTTTATCACTCCTACATTTGACAACAGAAGAGAAAGAGGGTCATTTTGGCCTGTGCCTTTAACAATAGGGAAGAAAGACAGAAGCCACTACCCTTTCTATTCAATAATTGTGGCGCGCTAAATGATTTTTATTATGCCACTCATTCCAAATGACGTGAAGATTGCCATGCAGGAAACCTATCCTATGATGTTCATTGAATCGTTTCGACACAAAAATGTCTCTGAGATTAAGGAAAGTAAATTATAACTGACAATCAATTTTCAGAATAATATCTAATCTTTAAAAACTCAAGATCAAATCTCCCTTTACGGAATATAACATTTGCAAGATCCTAGACCTTGAACATTGCATGTTGCTCTTTCATTCCAAAAATGGAAGAAGAATGAGGAAGAAATGGAGATCATATTGATGTAGAAGTCACGTTTGTAAGGTTTATTCCACTACCATTAATTTTAATGTGTACTGACCTCACCGTGTCCAACGCTCCCATCATCCAGAGTCAATGACAAGATATAACCCTCCTTATACAACGAATTTCCCTCACTATTCTTGGGACCAGATGTGAGCGGAAGGGCAAGTTGTATCCTGCACGCAAAAGTAAGGTTTATATTTACTGTTTCTGAAACAATTACATGAAGGCTCCATTGAAACCTACAATGAAATAGAAATTCTCTGTGTTTCTCAAAGAAACAACCTGTACATTGAATACTCCATTTTTTCTATCTTGCAAAGGGATACTGGATCAAGGACTCGATCTTGAACCGGTGAAAGAACATGTAGTGCTTGATTTGTTATCTGGCCAGCAGACCATTTTAAGATGCTGAAAAATGAGCACAATTTATTAAGTAAACTATCTAAAAGATAATATTAACTAACTAATAAACCAGTAAAAATGTCCAACCTGTGAAAAGTTGAATTACTCTTTATGGTACTTTCAACCTCTATAACGCTGTCCCTTTGTGACTGTTGACATATTGACAAGGCAAGCTGCAGTTCCATCTTTGTCTGTACATGAAGATGCCGTACACTACAAAATTTGCAATTGATAATTTTGAGGGCCATTACAACTAGGCCCATCACGTAACATTCAAAACTCCAAAGATCAGATCAAAATGAAGTGATAAAATGTCTATCAATTTTTTCATACATCACGGGAACTGTGGTTTAAATGTAACACCCACAAGATGACTTTGATAGAAATTTCATTCACATAGGCAAAACCAAAGTCTTTCTGAAAGCTCCAGGACCTCCCAGATCTACGCCTTCCAAGTTGTGAGTTCAGATGTGAAACCGCCTTCCCAAAGTCTATTCTCGCATATGGGTGTTAAAAAAGTGGACAAAAAATACATAGCATACTATGCAAAAGTAATTATTTCGTCAAAAAAATCAAAAGAGCCGATCAATGAGAAAAGCAAAAGGTTTTGGAGTTTGTTTCCCAAGTTGGTAAGCTCACCCTGCCTTTTTCCGCATCCAATATTTTAAGTTACATGAAATTTTTTGGGTAAAATGACGAAGAGAGCTTATTCTAGATAAATTAGATAAGTTTAAGAACAAAACGATGTGTAATACAATTAGTTTCTGCCGTACAGAGCTTATTCTAGCCTCAAACTAGTATTTTCTATTTTTTAAAATTTTATTTGCTTACGGAAGAAAATTTACACTTAGAAGTTATCATATTTAAGGGTATTTTGATCATTTGGTAAGGGCTTCAAAGTGTCAATGCAATCTGATTTTTCGTTCCTCGAGCTCCTACCTCTGTAGCTTGCACTACATGTGAAAATTATTAAAAAAGGAGCTATTCTTACCTACATAGATATACTTACAAACATTTTCAATAAGAAGGAAAATAACTCGATATATTTTCTTCATTGTAGCGCATTTTCATCTCTCCCTGTAACCCCTCCCTCCCTCCCGCACCCGTAAGTAAATGTTTATTCTGACATACATGTTTCGTCTCTGTTACATGAAGAAAAATGTGGTAGCAACAAAGTGAAAAAAGAAAAGTTACAAAATATGAAGGATAAGGAACAATTGGGTAGAGGTCAAACAAAGCGATATTGTCATAATTCACGGTAAGCTTATCTGAACTTGAAACTAGATATTGTTGCTAAAATCAGGTTCTCATCAGTAAAAAATAATGTCCCATAAAACACATTGTATCATTTTTCTGTAGTTAGTACCTTGAAGAATAGAGATGATATTTCCACTAAATAAGAGGGAAAATCGATCAATATCATGATTCCAAAACCTGCGTTTGGAGGGTTAACTATGTCCAATGTGAACTTTTAAAAAAATAAATATCTATGTCATATTCCTTCGATGTCAGTTAAAGTTCGTTGTATTATTTAGAAACATGAAAATACCCTATAAAGATGAAAAGTCTTTACCTCACCATCAAATTTGTAGCCTGTGGGCTGAAACAAATATCCCTCCTAATGTCTGAGCATCCTCACCATCTACTTGGCAGAGTGACTACGACCAAGGACCGATTTCAACTAGCCATGCCATGAGACTTGCTTATCTGGACTATATGCCAACGTTAGAACGAAGTTCCAACCATCCGTCCAAAGAGGATCCTAGACGAAGGCCATGAACTGAAGCTAACTACACGTCCCAAATGTTTCCCAAGTTTACCCAACCTGCCAATCTGACAAGGGGGCCAAGGCGGGGTCCTAGGAAGCCTTGAAAGGGGGATCCAAGAGTGTTTGATCCACCTTCCTAGAAAAGGAGTCCGGGCGGTTCCAATTGAACCCAGAAAATAAATGGGACTCAAGGATTTTTCCTGGGGGGAAAGCATGCATAGTTACCATGCGAAACTTCAACCCAAAACGACATTGGCAAGTAGAGAGGAAAATAGAGTGAGAGATAGAGAAGGGCAATGAGACGGGAAATATGATCAGATGAGAAGGAAATGGATTGAGAAGAAGAAAAAAACTATGACTAATCATTCGTGTGAGAGGAAAAAGTATCCATTGCCAATTCTTGGAAGCTCTTACCGATATTTAATCACGATTAACTAGAAACAATGCAACAGCAGGTAACGGAACATAGCATCGAGTTTATAAGAGATTATTTAAAGTTCACAGAATAAAAGCAATTTTTTTATCATAAATTCTTGATGTAATAAATCAGATAAAAGTATAATCGACATTATCATGATTCGAGAGGGTACCTGTGCGCTTCACATAACTTTTTAACTGAAATATCATGTGACGTATAAAAGTATTTGTGTAATGTATCTAAGTCCGTCGTCTCTTCAAGAGGCAATAGACTAAAAATCGCACCACCATGGTTGTTTATCACGAGTATTGTCATAGGCCTCCGCTGAATCCTCCATAGAATGAAGGAATTTTGTTAGAAAAATCCAACTAATCCATTAAGCATGGAAAGAAAATAATCCACTGGATGATAGATCAAAGTGAATCATGGCCCTACCTCTGATTTAGAATAGCCAATCCATTAGTATCATGAAGGAATGATACATCGCCAACCATACAAAGAACCTGCAGACATACCAAATGAATGAGTGAACCATGGTAAATATTTTTATCACTTTTAAAGTAAATCTATCATAACAAATGTAAGGGTTTTAGAATACTTCCAAGGAAAATAAATAAATAAATCAAAATGCCTGAAAAATAGAAACTTTATGCCGAAATATAAGAAACAAAAAAAAATTAACTGCAAATGACCACAACCATGTGTTCGTTCATACAACTTTAATTTTTATTGAAAAGAGTTTAAGCAATCGTAAACAAAGGTAAATTCATGCGATTTACTTTCATATCAGCATACAACTAATCTAAATTCATCATTAAGGCAAATCACATGCGTTTTACAAGCCTCTTACAATCCATCTAGTAACTTAAAAAAAGCAATTAGGAATGTATTAACCACAAAAGTACATAAAAATAAAGGTTAAATCTTGTCCGTTGTCTCTTCTAGCATACGGTTATTGTAACAAGCTCATTCATATTCTCCCAGACTGTCTACGTTCTGCCATGTGGAAGCACTGGCTGGGGCACAACTCATGAACAAAACCTGAAGTTCGAATATTGTAATAAAAATCAAGTTATTAAACTCAACCGTACTTGGGAGTAAGTAAAATATGACTGCATATTTAACTTAACACTCACCTACAAAAGCGTATATACATGGCTTCAACATATAAATCAAATATACTGCAAATCTTGAAACGTGAAGGGTGTTCTGACTCAACTTGGCATATATTTCTTATCTTCCAGGTAATTCATCACTACTCACAAGCGCAACTACAGGCATGGTCTAGTTTTGAACCTCTTAATCTTAGTATTTTGGTACTAGAAATCACTCATGGTTAGTTTTCCAAAAGCTTATTCAAAACGTCATAATTCAAAATCCTAATGACATTAATACCAATTCTCAAAATAAAAGCCCATAATTTGATTTCCGAGTAACAATGTCTCCCTAAACCTCTCTCCTTTCATTAAAAATACTTTCTACGCGTACACAATCTGGATTGTCAAACTACATAATCTAACACCAATTGGATTGTCATTGACTAATGCTTTTCTACCATTTGTACATTTGCCTCTGCTTAATCGGATTGGCATATATTTCCTCCTAAGGCAATCAAAGTGAAGATATCATATAACATACTTTCAAAGAAGTGGATTCCATTTAAGATAAGAAAGACTCTCAGGAGTGGATGCAAAAGACGGAAAATGAGCGTACACTTTTTCTCACTAATACTACAAGTAATTTTAGGTAATATGAGTACTATGTAATCAACTCTTACATAGAGAAGGTGACGTGGATAAAAAAACTTGCACAGGCAGCAATAAATGATACCATACATAACTAAGAAAAAAAATGCATGTTTTAGCACCGGAATTCTGAATTATCAGGATTGCATGTCAATAGAAAGTCAAAATTAAAGTGAATTTAACCACGAGGAGCACTAATCTGCATAAATTCAACTTTCTTACTCTCTTATTGCACCCAACAGCAAAACCAACTGCCGCACTAAGTAGGCCATCAATGCCGCTTGCCCCTCTATTCCCAGCCACACGTATGCCTTGCAAAGGTAACCCATCACATAAGAATTGGTGCAAGGTTGAAGAGCTAGGTCCCACCCAACCTCTTGCAAACATATCTGTGTCCCTAACGGCCATGCTGTTTCCAATAAATAAAGCAGCGTTGTCTCGAAGTGATTCAGCAATGCCATGAGCAACATGTGGCTCAGTTAAAGAGTACTCAGCAGAGATTTGAAATGAAATTTCCCTTGCAACCTGTTACATTATTGTTTAATCACTAAAAAATTAAAATGCCTTTCTTTTATCGAGGAGCACTTATAATGATAAAGAACACAAAGATAGAGCTAAAAGGATAGAGGCACCAATCCTTCTGAGTTCTAAAAACGACATAGTAAATACCTAAATTCCACTTAAAAAAAGAGCGTATCTTAAAAAAAGAGAATTGCTAAGTGTGTGAAGTTAATTGAACTGAACAATCCAGCCCATAGTCCATATTGATAGGCGAAATACTTTCATCTCTCTCTCTCTCTCTCCCTACAATGTGGATGGGGACCCCGATTTTGAAGCTGTTGAATGAAAATCTTCTTCTTCCATATCCTTTAAGCGTAAAGAGGGAAAGACAACTATTTCCCATGAAATAAACAAGAAATATACAAAGAAAGATTAAAATATAGAAAAAAATAGCCATATCATGCGCTGCAATTTCCGGTGCACAACAATTTCTCGAAATGAATCATGGCAACGAAATCCTTTACTTCTAAAAGACAATGGGAAAAAATTATCGAAAATTAATGATAGTGCTACCCTGTCCTTCGAAACTGATGCCATTCACTCAACGCATCCACTCACAAATGTGGTGAAGGAAAAACATTATTGAATGAAAAACGATTTAACTTTTAAGGTAGATAATGATTATTGAATATTGATATAAGACTACGACCTTTTCCTGAGCTTCTTCCATCTAGAACAGATCTTACAACAGTTTTGATGAGAAGAAAGTTTGTGTTTTGGGACAATAGTGTATAACGGATTTCCTAAACCTAAATAACATACAAAGACACTCCAAAAGATGTACGTGATCTAATCGTTTATAGGGGTTAAATATCAACAAAAATTTAGTAAAAGAGTAAGATTCAACGGGATAACAAAAATTGAGCATATATGCTCTGAGTTAGAACCGTGGAAAAATAAGAAATATAGCACTGGCTTCATGACAACGAAAAAGAAGGGAAGACATTTCGTGAGACAGAACTCGCCATTCTCAATCTAACACCATGTATTTCATTTGGACTGCTCACTGTTTCAAACACATATATACACTCATTCTCGACCATATAACCGTTCTTCTTCATTGCTTCTGTAACAGGTCCAAACAGTGAAATGGTTCTAATTATTCTTCCTTCAAAATGTATCTTCAGCTTAAATATTTAAATGTTTAACAAGAAATTATGTATCAGGATGAGCATAGATGAAATTGTAAATATCTACGAAATTGGCAATCATTAAACCATTTCAAAACATTTTTTGATGGACAGACATTTCTTGAATCACTATATCAGAATACAAGTGTTCAAAGTTTCCAACAAATGAAAGAGCTCGCGGTAAACAATGCGCAGATTCATACTGTATTGTTCAACATCTCAAGAAATCTGCTCCACTTGCTCATTTTCTGAGGAAAATAGTTGTTACGCAAACTCTCAGCAAATTCAGCAACAGTACTTTGTATCCTATGAGTAACAATATGTGAATGATCATGGCGGTACGGATGCTTGTCCACCAAGATGTATGAACGTGGAGAGTGAAATGCCAACCACTGAGAGATACGTTTACTCGTGATTCTGCTTCCAATCTGTTAAATAAACGCAAATTTATGCATGAACTTCAATGATGTAAGAAAAATTGATGGTCTGGTTAACGGGAAAACTGAAAAACTCTTAAATCACTCCATATAAGATTCTGAAAATCGTACTTAGCATCTGTCTGATTTTTATTTCAATATTGTCAATAACGCACCTTCACTCTCTCACTCTCACTCCATGCGGAATTCTGAACCAACCCAAGAAAGTCCATTTCTTCTACCTTCTTCCCTAACCTGTTTCAACTGACACGACTGTTCTCCAAGACGTCATAATTTTCAACGACTTTCATTTTCTGATTCCGCATATGCACAAAACTTAGTGGAGAATCTTTTGAATTAATTCCGGGTTGACTTTTATGCCAATAATTCGCATTATATCTACAACAAGCATGAAAAAATATTTGTGTGAAATTCCAGTTGAAAGTATCGATCTATGCCTTCAGAAATACAGTCAATACAACACAGTAGTAAATTCACCTCATGATTTTCTTCATGTCAAAGATGGAAGATTCATAAGTTTTTGGACCACTCTTCAACAACCCGTCAGGATATCACCTGGAAAGATAACTACGTGTCTAATTTCGATTTTCTTTTTATACTTATTCTCGATAATAACTCCCACAGGAGATCTTATTCCTCCTTTTCCTGTTTGTACTCAAGAGTGGTCTGCGTTATTTTTTTAGTTTTGGGTTTTGCAGAGCTGTCTTCTAACCCAAATATACCCTCAAAACGCAGAGAATCGCCTTCAAAATAAGGAGACCCGTCCCTGTACACAGTCCTCAGACTTCCAGGTGGTTCATCATTGGACCTCGCCAAAACAGGTCTCTTGGGAGTAGCCTTTTCTGTGCTTGCTGAACTTAAAGTCATGGCTAATATGCAACGTTGAAAGGGTCCTCCTTTAGTGGGATAATTCGGTGTTCGTAGAGGAGAAAAGTGAAGAGTGACTTGCTGGATAGTGCCTCTGACTTGAGCCATATCCTAAAAGGTATTTTATTTCAAAATCAGCTACATGATTACTGTCTTATTTGGTCCAATAGATGCATCCTACTATGTTTCTAACAGTCTTGAGGGATGAACGCATATAAATGCATGATTCTCCAAAAACTAATGTTATATATCTACGAGACTGTTCACAAGAATGAATTTTCCAAATCCAAACATAAAGAAAAATTTTCACAAGACTTTTATACTCTTTCACCAAAACAAACTACACCATATCTCCCCCAATCTCAACCATGCATTTTTGTCTATACAAGATGTTAAAGCAACAGTATTTAATGTAGATCTCTACCATACAGAAGCGCAATGAGAAGGAATAAACGGGCATCGTCAAATTTCTAGTATGATTTATTTTGAAATATAAATTTCAATTAATTATCTCTGTACTGTAAATGCCAAGCAAGTTTTTGGAGTACCTGTAGAACAGCATCTGGCTCCACCCAGATCCTAGCCGAATCTGATACAAGCACATGATCTAAATGATCTACAAACAGTAGGTTATCCATGTCAGAGAATGCACCATGAAGTTTCCGCAGCCGTAGCCCTGATAGTATATCAGTTACCACTGGCCAGAGAAGTTGTTTAGCTAATAGGAGGGCTGCCCAAATTTCATCGTCCGAGTGAAGACCACCAATAATTAGAATACCCCTTTCAGCATCTTGAACAATTCTAAGAACCTCGTTGATCTGACCACAAACAGAAAAGTTTTGGATATTGTAGTACTTAGAAAAAGGTATGTGATTTGACATCCAATTATCTAATCCTTTCAGGCACTTCACTGTCCACTCCCTTGGATAATTTTCCAGTGGTTCTCTAAAGGGACAATTAATATGGACAGGGCCCTGAGCTGGATGAGTTGCAATGTACACCGCAGAGTCAATTGTTGTGAGAACCATTCTTGCAGGAATGTCATCAGTTGGTGGAGGAAGACTGAACGAATGTTTCACAAACTCACCAAAGTGATTAACCTTGCAAAAACAATTTGAGACATCTCTCTATCATTTTAATGAAGGGACATGCACTGTTAGTTTGTGAAGGATATCGACATTATATCATTCAAAGTTTGCTAAACGCCAAGTCATTATAAAAATTGAAAAATTATCAGCATAAAAAAAAATTCAATAGGCAGAAAAAGAAGAAGCGGAACACTCATAAAGATAACAATACAGAGATCTTGATTTGTTTTATTCTCTTAGTCCCCAAAGTCCGTAGGGCCGGCCAATATTCACCAAGACATCTGATTTTGTTGTAGACTAGTGTTTTCAAGTGAGCAATTTTTTTGAAGTCCCCACCTAATTTTCAATCTACATTAATATCCCCAAGACAGTTACAAATTGCATTTTACACAAATGCCGAGGACAAGACCCAACCAACTGAACTCAACTGGAGTTTCTGTTTGTATTATTCAAACGGGACTCCATTCAGCTTTAAACAAGGAAAAATCCAGAAAGTTTCTTTAAAACTATTTTCTGATCAACTAAAAAAAATGGTAGGGATATGCACTCTTAGCTTAACTACTTGGAGACATTGCCTTCAGGTTTCCATGTATACTTCATGAATAAAGCCTATGATATTAATTTTATAGAGTCTTATCTAGATTTCAGTGCCACGCACTATCCTTAATGTTAAATGGTAACATACATGAAGGCACATACTCATCTCATTTTGAAAAAAGGGGATAGATCATTTGATTCTCGCCGTAGAAAAATACGACTAAACACACATGATCCTTCATATCTTCTTAAATAGAAAGACAATAAAATTATTGACTCAAAATACACATAGGTGTAAGGTTGAACATAACACTCGAGCTACATGAGAATCCCTTGAAATATTGAGTATTCAGTTGACCGATGAAACCCACATAAATCGAAAGCAAAAGATACGCCTGAACATAACACTCGAGCTACAGTTATCCTTTTCTGAACTCATACGCCTTGGGCAAACAAAAGGACAACTCACTAAAGATAAATCACCGCAATATAAAATACTCTTGAACACTTGACTAGAGTAAGCAAAAGATACGAGGCAACTCTTATTCAAATAACAAAGAAAATACTTGGTTGATGGCTTGATTTGCTCCAGTATCATGCAGTTCTGGAGGGCGATCTGCCGTGAGTAACAAAATTGGTAGGAAATCTTGTTTAGCCTCCACCACCTGCAAGCGTCTGGTTGATAAGAACAATAGATAAATGACAAAACGAAATAAAAAAGAGAATTCAGCTAACGAGCAAAAACATCTAACAAAAACACGAATATTAAAATTATATCCGTCTAAGGGGAGATGTCATTTAAAATTGAAAGATTTATTTTACCAAAAAAAATACGAATCGAGCTGGGTTTCAAATAAGGATAAATAACTATAATTGTTTGATAAGAAACATGTCTATGTGGAGGTGCTTGTACCAAAGGTGTCTAACCCTCACAAAGAGGACTTTTAGTTTCCTGACTCATGCATAGGGTAAAAGTCATAGTTATAACACGAATATCCAATTCCAACATTAAAGAGTTCTGATAAAGGTTCTTCCAGAAACATATGACAAAAACAGAAAGAGCCAAGTAAAACAAAGGCTGTGTTTTCTAAACACCTAAATATTACAAGAAAAAAAATCCAAATTCCACAAAAGATGAAGAATTTCCTTGGTTTAGTGCAGGGGATCAAGGGAAAGTTGAAGCTTGAGATGGTTCTCCATGAAGGTCAGATAGTTTCCCCAATTACTTGTGAGAAAAAACTCCACAATAGGGAATTAGGTTCTCCATTCATGTCATATGTTCGGGCAATACATGAAAGTTATTTGTTCACCAAATTCAGTAGAGAGTATTTTCTTCAAGCGCAATAAAAACAAATCAAGGGACTTAGGAAGAGAATGAGGGGAAAACCAGGAACAGGTATAGCTGTTGGGGGAAAATTGAATGAAAGTTTCGATGGAGGGATCTGTGACTGGACAAGGATATAAGCTAAAGGAATATCTATCAAGCAGCACTGAATTCGGATATCAGATCAGTTAGAAAAATGACTATGCTGGAATTTTACATTTCTTACCCATAAAGTATAACATGGTATGACAGAACTTGAATCTCAGGTCTCTTGGACAATGCAATCAGCCACAAACAGCCATAATGAGGAATATTTTTCTAACAAGTGTAATCTGTAATACTCATTAACAGTGGAGCAAACAATAGGAGGATATACAGAGGAAAAACTCAACTCATATTCACATTATAGATACGTGTTGTACATAATTATCAGGACAACAAAAACAAGGAAACTACCTAACAACTAGGAAATGGTCCAACTAAGAACCAAAGTCTTAACCATATGTTTCTTTCTCCCACTCCCCCCCCCCCCAAGCTGGTGAACAGACATTCTCCATTCCCAACTTGAATACAAAACTTCAAAATACAAAAGGTGTACAAATAAATCCACTCTCCAACTTTTTCTTGATGAAGTATCTGATGATTTTTGTTCAATCATGTTGTACTATGCTGTGAGCTATGCTAATTGCAGATTTGCTGTCACAATAAAGTCTCGTGGGGCCATCCACTTAATCTTCAAGTCCTTTAAGATGATCTTCAACAAAAAATCATTCATACAGACCACTTGACCATGAGGCATTGTTCGAAATTCAGCATTTCCACTTGACCATACTACCACATTTTGTTCTTTATCTCTCCAAGTCATGAGATTCAAGAAAGATGATAAATGTCCTCCATAACCAGGTGGATAATACATATATACTTCATCAGTAAGATTCTCATGAAGAAAAACATTCTTCACATCATATTGTTGGATATTTCAACTAAAAATAACAGTTAATGACAAAATAATTTTGATTGTGTTCATTTTTGCCACAGGAGAAAAAATTTCATGGTAGTCAATTTGATAAACTTGTGTATATCTTTTAGCTACGAGCCTGGTCTTGTACCTTTCAACTGATTCATCAGCATTAACATTGATAGAATAAATCCATTTACTGTTAACTGTCTGTTTATTCTTAGGGAGAGGTACAAGCTCCCATGTATTGTTTCTCTCAAGAATATGCATCTCATCATTCATGGCTTGTTTCTACTCTTTCTTAGAAAGAGCTTCTGAAATACAAATTGGAATGATAATATTATCTAAGGTAGCAAGGAGTTCTATAAGATGGAGAAAGTTTATGATAGGAAATAAAGTTTGCTGAAAGATATAATGAGTATTTTGTACAAGCCCATGGAGGTTTCTTGAGGGCAATAAGGTCATTGGATTGGGGACTGGTAGTATTTCCACTAGGGATCCAGAATTTGGAGGTACTTGTGTCCTAAAATAAACCTGACCAAATCTGAGTTTTCAGGAAGTGGATCAGGAAGAGATGAACTTTGGTCAGATAAATTGGTAGAATAATTTGACCTGGAGGAGAAGAAACTCTTTTTGAGGAAACATCAAGTAAAGGTGGAAATGGCAAAGATGTGTCTTGAGAGATTTTTTGGAAATAAAAAATAGATTCATAAAAAGTAACATCCATAGTTGTAAATAATTTTTGAATTAGTGGATGATAACAACAATACCCTTTTTGAGTAGTTGAATATCCAACAAACATGCATTTGAGGGATCTTGGATCTAATTTACCTTTAGCTGAATTATGATTATAAATGAATGAGACACATCCGAATATGTGAGGCTCTAATGAGATTTGAAGATGATTAAGAGGGAAAAAAGAAGCTAACTTCTCCATAGGACTTTGGAAATCCAAGGTTCTAGTGGGAAAATGATTTTTTAGAGATGTTGCTGTTAAGAGAGCTTTACCCCAAAAAACTTTGGGTGCACTCACCTGAAACAAGAGTGAACATGTAACCTCTAAGAGGTGTCGATTTTTTCTTTCTGCCAATCCGTTTTTCTAAGGAATGTAAACACATGAAGACTCGTGTATAATACCCTCAACCTGAAAAAAGGAATTCAGATCATTGCTAAAGTATTCCTTAACATTATTTGACCTAAATTTCTCAATAGGATTATCAAATTAAGTTTTGATCATTGCACAGAAATGTTTCAACACAACTGAAACTTCAGATTTCTGTTTAAGAAGAAAGACCCACATGCAATCGGTGCAGTCATCCACAAAGGTAACAAACCATTTTTTACCTAGTAGATTTACATTGGGACGGTCCCCAAACATCACTATGAATGCAAGATAAAGAGATCTTATTTCTTTCATTTTTTATAAAAAAGGAAACACGAGTATATTTGGACAGTTCACATACATCACACTTAAGTGTTTTTTCAGACACTTTTTGAAACAAAGAAGGAAGAAAACTCTTCATAGTAGCAAAAGAATGATGACCTAATCTTTAATGAAGGTGCTAAATGTGACTCAAATCATTGTGATGTTCTAGAGATGGATCTGCTTCCACAAGACAGGTTTGGCTAAGTCCCTCCAAGATGTAAAGTCATCGTTCTCTAGCAACTCCAATCCACCATTTTTAGACCTTATCAAGGATAACACAAAGATCTTCATCAAAGAAGGTACGATAATGTGTGTTTTTAACAAGGCTTTCTACAGAAATAAGGTTGGTGAAAAGCTTAGGAACATGGAGGACTTGGGTGAAGATTTCTAAAAGTTCAAAGGTCAGGTCTCCAATACCACCAACCGTGAGAAGTGTACCATCAGTAGTAGACACTTTTCGATCACTGAAACATGGGGTGTAGGTAATAAAATGATATGACAAATTTGTCATATGATCTATTGCTCCTGAATCTATTACCCAACATCCAATAATATCTTGGGATGGAGCTCAAACACCAAGAGAAGAGTGGAAATCACCAATTTGATAACTCATCGATGGTTGTAAATGTTGTGTTATCATTGCTTTCAGTTGCTCTAATTCAAGGCGAAGTTTTTCTACTTCACTTGATAGAGTTGAATCAATATTTCTTGGGTCTGTTTGTCCAGACTTCTGATTTGATGAAGAATCAATCACCATGTGAACTTGATTCACTCGATTCTCAGAATTTCATGGTTTGCCATGAAATTTATAACATCACTCCCTAGTATGACGAGGTTTCCTGCAATAAGTGCACCAAAGATTATCTGTATAATTGTTTTTCTAGTTCTTCCCTTGCACAGATGATGATTCATGATTCGAATATTCTGCTGATTTAATGGTCTGTCCAAGTTTGGCTAAAAATAATGTATTACCCGACTCCTGAGTAGACAGCATCAAGTTTTTACGACTCTTTTCATTCAGTACAATTGATCTCACCTCATTTAGATCTGGTCTCCTTTCACATCCTAGAATTCGTTGTCTAATATGATCAAACACAAGACTCAAACTAGCCAAAAATTTAAAGACCTGCCTTCGTTCTATGAAATTTCGTAATGTAGAAATTTCTTTGGGTTCTTGAATCTTAAGATCAAGATAATAATCAAGTTCCTACCATAGATTTTTTAAGTTCTCATGTGTACTCCACCATTGATTTCAAATCTTAAGCAACTGATTGAGATTTTATCTCCATTTCATATATGTGTGACTCATTGTTTTTCATCAAATATTTCATGTGTACTATTCCCCATAGATCCTTCACAATTTTCATAAAGAAAAGATTTCTATTGACTTGGGGAATCATTGTTCCCAAGATCCATCTCTTTATCAAAGCATCCTCCTCTAGCCATTTTCTAAATTGTCTTGACATTGGATCTGTGTGGTTTCCTCTAGATGGTGTAGCATCGCTCTGTCAGTAAGAACTTCCCTGATATATTCTAACCATTGGATGAGATTATATTCAGTCAACTTAGATTCCGTAGGCATGGTAGGGAGTTCAATCATCAATCTTGATGATACATGATTGACATCCATAATGGTGGTAGAGACGTCACCTATTGAGGTCTCTCCTCCAGACATAGAAAAACAACAAATCGGAATAGGAACAACTATTTACTGAGCAAAAAAAACGTAATTCTCGTATGTCTTTAAAGGAAGATCAAAAATCGCCTTGAGAAGGACTCAAAGAGCGATGTTGATCTTCCAAGTCCTCAAGAAGCGGCTCACAGAAGCAGCTCACAGAAGCAGCATAAATCTCTTATACAAAAAGAGATAATAAGAAAGGAACAATCACACTTGGATTAGCTCTGATACCATGTTGAATTTCTTCTAGTTCCTTCGTTTCTTGAAGAACAACAGACCTTGTGGAAAGGAAAAATGAAACTTCTATTAAAAACATATGATGGAAAAACTCCTTCAAGACTTATTTACATCGAGAAAGGGATCTATTATTTATAACAGATCAATAGCTGAAGGTTCTAGACATAGAGCCTTACATCCCGAGACATACGAGTGATGTTCACGTGCTTCTTTAAGTGAAGCACGTGATACACCTCACCCCAACTGCTAACGCAGTATTTACCTGTATTTCAACACTTGAACAATTCTCAATTAAGCCCAGCAAGAAAATCATAGGCTCAGTCTTGCTTGATGAAATCTTTTAGGAGCTGCATCTTCAGGACATTTGGTTTCAATTACCCTATAATGTTGAAGTTCTTACCAACAATAGCATTCAGCTGATTTGCATATTCCATAATTATTTTGCTTCCCTGTTTTGCAGCCATTGTCTTCACCTTTACTTCATAGACTTGAGTTGCATCTCTAGCTTTAGAATGTCTGTTGGATTGCATCTCAAATATCCTTGGCTGTAGCCAAGAGCATAAATGTGTCACTAATCTCAGGAGTCGTAGAATTCCATGACCATGCCATAATCATAGAGTCTTCTTCATCCTATGCCTCAAACTGCCCCTCTGATTTTGGCCCTATACCTGTGGGATGGCTGATCTTTCCTTTTCCTTTCAGCATGGTGCGAACAAATTGGGACCACCGAAGGATTTGTTTTTCAATCCAATCTATATGCAGCTTGAATGCCCAGCAGTTGTAGTAATCATCTCTACAATTTCTGACATCTGTAGACAAAATGACGTCTACTTCTAGTAAAAGGATTGTTGGTGTTGCTAGAAAAACAGACTTCTTGTCAGCAATCAAGGCTGAAAGGATCAACAATGAAGGTTGATTGTTAAAAAGAGTTATCAGCAATTACAAAACAAAGGGTCGACAATGAAGATAATCATAAAAGTATTTTGCAAACAAGATAGGGAATATCAGCCTACTGTGATTGGAAACAATGCAATCAATGTCAACCCAGGCTGGTCTCTCACATCCACTGCAAAAGAGGAGAAGAAAAGAGGTACGAACCGGGAGTTCATATGGTAGTACCATCCTCTACTTTTGATTCCATCGTGAACCAAGCAACAACCCTCAACTAAACCCTAGGCTACAGCAGAAGGAAGGAAGCAAACCCTAGATTCTATGGAAGCCAGCAACAATAACCTGGTTCTAATACCATGTCATGAACAGGAGCACAAACCCTAGGAGGATATGCAGGGGAAAAACTCAACTCGTATTCACATCATAGATGACTGTTATATACAAGTATCAGGACCACAAAACAAGGAAACTACCTAACAAGGAGGAAACGGTCCAACTAAGAACAGAACTCTTAAGTATACGTTCTTTCACACAGTAATAAAAAAAGTGTACTGTAGTGGCGTAACAGTGGTACAAAAAAAGGAGAATCAACAAATCCTACCGCTGGAAGAAGATTCGAAACAGCAGTACCAGATGAGGTAATGACAACTGCAGGCCTCAATGATCCTCTTGCATAACCAACAGCATGATATGCCAATGAACGTTCATCATAACATGAAATGCATGTAGTGAGTTGATGAGCTGAAGCAGATATGGCAAGTGGGGACGACCTTGATCCTGGTGCAATGCAAAAGTACTGCCATAAAGCTCATCAGAATCAAGTGCCCACAAGAAGATACACGTGTATGATTAAAACTCACCGTCAAACCAAGACGAACAAATTCTTCAACCAAAAGTGATGCCCAGACTGCATTTATGTTTGCACATTTGCTCACTGACACACTGCTTCTACGGTGACCTTCAAACTGCAGCAAATTTGACAAAGTCCATTCATACAAAGAATAATATCCGCTGTATTGCGTTACTTCAACATCATACATCTTGAAAGAATTTCAAAAAATGGCATCAAGCCATTCTATGTTTCTAGCAATCAAGCACGTTGATTGCCCTGAATCTAAGTTAACTGTCAGAAGTAATACAGCTTCTATAACTAAATTACATTGGCATTTGCATTTTCGTCTTATTTCATAATAAAAACTGAATTTTCATAGAGAAGATCGGAAAATAAATTAAATAGAAAGAAGAAAAGTTAGACATAAGGCAGGAGAATATTTTCAATGGAAATAGTACCACGTCAGTGGCCAAAGCGACAGAAGCTGAAAGCCTGAAATAAGCATGGCAACGTGTCTGAAACTGTTCCTGAACAAGAGCAACACAAATGAGACTATATCATGAAAAACGTACCAACTACAAGATATCATGAAGATGATAGAAAGTTTTTTCAGCAGAGCGTAAGAAACCAAAATTACCATCACTTATTTATAAAGAATAATTAATGAAATACCGTAACCAGAAGTAACAGCATACCATTTGGAAATTATGACCTTCTGCAGCCATATTCTCCATGAATTTTCCATTTATGTGCACCTAAAAGATAGCATAAGCCATACAGACAATAGAAAAAAGTTAAGGAAGGAAAGCAAATAATATTGTGAGTCCTCATTTAGACTTCTAAATTTTACTTCAAACATCTGGAACTTTTGTAAATGAAGAAAAAAAGTCGTAACAAAACATAAAAAAGGAAAATTAGAGATGATTTAGCTTATATAAAGAAATTAGCAAGGCAAACTATCAGAACACTACTGGCCTAAGCTCAGAGAAAAATAAATAAATATGGTGCACAAATGATTGATAGGTGAGGATAGGTGGAGAACTTCTAGATCGAATGGGAATATTAGATAGTTGTTTCCATAAGCATTTCATACTGGCAAAAAAAGGTACGAGAAAACAGTTAATTTTTTGTCAACGAACATAACATCATCTGTGAGGTAATAAATAGCCAAAGAAAAAAATCTTCCTTACCGGAAGATGCAACTATTTTTTCACGTTTACGCACCAAATACTAATAACCTTGTAAACATTACGGTTTAATTCGTTCACGAATATTTTTATCTCTCTATGCGTACTACACTTGAATTATATGACGACTCAGAGACATTGGAGATCTTATTAATCATAGACCCTACTTCAATATAGGCCGACTACAGTACCATGAACAATTCTTCTTCTTAGTTTTATTCGCCACTTTTACCACACTGAAACAGTTATGATATAACAAGTAGGCTTTCCTCATTGCATGTAATTTGGTTTAAAATGAAAAAAGCAATGTCACGATTACCTACTGCTTTATCATGTTGAAATTTTCCTTATGTTATCCTTTTTCACTATCATAGCTCCTAGTTCAGCAGCTGCTGCTTTGCAACAGCGAGTGAAATGACATTTAGATCGTGCTAAGCCATAATCATGATTAAAATAAACTTATAAATCTGTTGAGTCCGACCACCTAGCAATGCAAAGTATTACAGTTTTCTAGATCATTACACTACATGTCAGTTGGTTCGTAAGATTAGTGTCTAAATTATACTCCTCCCAACAGTCGCGGCTGCATCTAAATATCAGGCAAAGACACAATACACCAAATCTTATTCTGAGACTTGAACGAAGGTTCCCACCAGGCTCACAATTCGTCGTGATTCTATAAAATCATTTAACTAAACCATAATAGAATCTCTTTAAATGAATGGAACATAGGCCAACTAACTGAGCAAAAACTCAGTATGACTAGATAATAGTCAACAATATACCTTAATGGGCATAATAAGGTCCTCTAAAGGCTAATTAAAATCAACATTGAAAGATTTTTATTCACCCAACCATAATCTCTCATGTAGTTTTCTAGCATGAATCATGAGATAGACTGCTTATAAACCAATCAGCTGACTTTCCACATTGAAATTCCACTGCAACTGATAACAGTTATAGAGTCCAGCCCTTACATTCTCATTATAGCAAGGGTACATCCTTTTTTTTCTTCATCTGATTATGCCTTATTAAGTTTGGTTCTTTCGTTGAGGGTTTGACACACCTCAAAACTCGTGTACTTTCCTAGCTACAATCCCATCATTTTGTATCCTCTTAAGACTTACTGTTTGTCAAGTTTACAATAAAAAATGGAAAGGAGTTCACAAAACCCGGGTTTAGTGCCGTTTTAGCATCTGGGAAACTAGGAGAGATTTTCTTAAAAGCTCAGACAGGGCAATGATATTTTTCTGCCATTTCTACTCGTTAGGGTGATTATTCCGTTATGGGAATGACATTTGTGAAGCTTTGCCTCTATTCAACAACTAAAGTTGTAATACTGAAAAGAAGGTAAGAGCGATAATTTCAGATTTGAAAAAGAAAAAAAGAAGTAATATGTTTCAAATCCATGTCTAGTTATTCTATCCTCGACAATATGTAAATTTGTATCATCAATGATTGGTAATGGCGTGTATACGTTTCTATCCTTTTCCTAAAAAACCAGCAAAGCAATGTTCGATGTTTTATTTTTTTCAAAGTTGTTGTCCAACAGTCAAAAAAAAAAAAAAAAAAAACTACCAACAACCAAAATGATGTAAGAAAATCAAATACTGATATTGAACTACCATATTGGTATCCTTCATCTCAATTAGACTTGATTGCTCATGAACAGAGAGATACCAACTTTTGTTGCAGAGATCACTAACCGCTGTAACACTGGAGACCATCTGAAAAATGAACGTAATCAGTATTGCAGGCGTAAGTAAATATGAGCAAACAATGAAAGAGCTATGTAAACAGGCGTCGTAAATGATGATCACCACTGTTTCTCACATTCAGTTAAACATGCATAAAAACATCAGCAAACTATTTCTAGTGACTTCGGATCTAACCCAAGATGATCTTTCTTAAATAGAGGACAGGAAATATCAAATATTTCCGTTGGTCTGGATGGGCTTTATACTATTGTAGAGGCCCAATTTCACCAAGTAAGAAAGTCCCACAAAGAGTTTAGCAACCACAGACGTCAAGTGATAAGATGTTTCTCGAGCACTTAGGAAGGTGTCAAAAGATCAGCCAGTCACATGAAGAGGCAATGAAAGCTTGTGGATTGCAGTTTCCTGATGTCTAGTGTGATTGTGAAGTCAGGCAGTCAATTTTCCAGGTTAATGACCATATTTCATCAAATTGAGATCCATTTTTGAGTCTTTGTAATCCAAACCTTAAAAAAACTGAGTTCCCTTCATTAATCTTTTAGGGCATAGATGCTAAGAAGATAGTGTTCCTTGTTGGTTTCTCTTCAGAGGGCCACAGAACCATACGATTTGTCAAGGTTAAGTTGAATATAAATTAAAGTCGTAAATCCAGGTTCAGGGCAGAATTCAAATGTATCTGAATTGTTCCCTTTAAAGTAAACAAATTACCACATTTTACTCTTATATGGCACCCAATTTTATTTTATGAGTAATTAGCAGGCTTCTCTCCGTCTTTTATTCATTTGCACAGAACCTATATCTTCTATTCCATTCTATTGGCGGAAGCTATCTCCTGTTGCACAGAACCTTTTTTATTAATTTTTCTGCACAATTCCATTTATTAAAAAAAAAAACTTTCCTTATTATCTAGCATAGATTATTCAAGATTACATAAAATATTTTTCTATGACGCAGAAAGAGAAGGTACTTTTATAGTTGGAAAACGAAAAGAACCAACTCAAAATAGGTAAGGTTTAAACATATTTCCAGGTTGGAAATGTCAGAAAAAAATATTAAACAGAAATATTGTGACTAAAGTGCAAATGGAGGTATCAAGAGACAGAACAAGCATTATATAGGGAATTTTAACGATGTAAGGAAATGTCCCAATAGAGCAAAAGAGAGTGCAAAGGAAACATATAATTAAAAAATTAAAAAATATCCATAAAAGATTCCAACTATTTACAATAATAATATGGTGATAAGTTTATAATCATCCATCAAAAAATCAATAAAGATTAGCTCTTTCATTAACAGAAGAGAGCTCCAGTAAAAAATCATTTGAAATTCACGCTAAAAGTGTAGTCTAAGTGACAACTTAGCCATTTGACCACACTTCTAATAATATTGTCGTGACATTCTTTTCATCATTTTGGCATTCATCTCTTCACTTCGCATTTAAGAAATATGTCCGTTTCTTGAATAATGACATTATGATTCCATTTAGAATATCCTTTGTTTCTTCATGCCACTTCGGATCATGGAAAATTATGCATGTTCATCTGAATTCAACTTTTTCCATTTTTATTTTTCGAAATAATTGCAACAATATTGTAAGATAAAGAAATATCCAATAAGGCTCTGAAGCCCATAGCACTTGGCTCACTTAAGTATGCTTTTCAAGTAATTGAAAAGTTATATTGGAATTAAATTACGAGGACCAAGCAAAATATGATATTCTCTTTTTCTATAAAAGTTTACATGTGTTCAGTGATGCTAACTACCTACTAGTAAAGGATATTACCAGATTGTATACAACAAATATCATTAAAAGCAATTTTCGAGTCTGAAATCAAAGTACTCATATTAAGGAATGAACAAAAGACTCGGGAGATCGTAGATTGATGGGATAAGACAGAAAAACTGAGCTGTATCAAATTCCTAGAAAAAAATGATGGAGATGGTCACCTGAGAGCAGGTAAAAAAAAATTGTCTGTATTGAAACTGGTAAGTAACACACTCTATGAAGTGAATATGATTAACGGCGCTCATCCCATTTTTTTATGGAGAGAAAAGAAAGAAACAAGTAATCTTCAAACATCAATATGATTGTACTAAGACACCACTTCCAATTAGGAATTTCACCGTGCTTTGGCCTCGTCACGCTTACCCTGAGTCCAAGGATTTTTCACAGGGACTAGACCTGGTTTGTCGCCTAAAAAAAACCCTGAAAGTGATATCTGAGCCAGACCCGTCCGAAGTCCTAGCTGACCTTAATAGCCCAAGCCCAGACATCATTGGCAACTTTTATCCGAGAGAGAGAGGGAGAGATAGTATGCTACATGTGTAATCAAGTTACAACCATGAGGTCATAAAAATGAGCTTTAGGCTTCGTTCCCAAAAAACATAACACCCAGAACCAAGCTTGAATTGGACCCGAGATAGGGCCCAACTCTATTTTACATTCTGAATTTGTTAAAGATCAAGCCAAAATAATCAGGCCACGCCTGTCCAAGCATGAGGTTTATCCGGCCGATTGGCATTCATACTGCTACCCTGGTTTCCAACATCGATTGTGGCAATTTCAAGAGAGAATCTCAATTCATAAAAGCAACAAATTACGCTAATATGTTGCACAAAGAAGAGGAAAAAGCGGGCATTGCGAGGTGAAGTAGACAGAAAGAAAGGAAGAAGAAAGCACAGATACACCTTCTGTCAACTATAATACAACCTCGTCCTCCCTTTCTACTTTTCCTTTTACAAAGTTTGACACTTAAAAATGCTACATATGGGATCAACTAATGAAGTGATGAAAAAGGGTGTGGATTTGATTTCAAAGTTCACAGTTAGACCCACAAAATTCAGACTAAATATAGACATCATCAAATTTGTTCATTTGTTCAATTTTTTGTCTAGAGATTATCCATCTTTCTATGAGAAAGGCCAATTTGTTGGATCTAAGCAAATCCCAACAGGCTAACCGTAAAACTAACTGTTGAGAATTGATCTTGATTGAGATTCTTGCAACTTGGAGACTCAAAGGAGTCGATCTTCACGATCCTCCTCTTCCAGGAAGATGAATCAGTCACCACTTCTTGGAGCAGAGTTTCCACAATCCCAAAATCTTACATCAATTATCTTGGTTTCCCGCTTAAGTACAGGTTACATGAGTTAATGGGCCAGGCCTATTACATTAGACTTTAGGTGGATCCGTTAACAGTCTAATGGATCCACTTAACATAGGGAATGACAGAGAAGGACGAAAATACAGTAAAAAGAAACAGATAGAAAGGAAAACAATCCTAGAGAGTTCAACACTAATTCTGGCCTTCAAAGTCATCTTTATATACTCTATTTATTAAAATTATGCATATAGACACCCCTCAAAAGCAATCAAAATCACTCTTTAAATATTTAAAAATCGGCTTTATCCCTCAAGATCAGACAACTAGACCCAACTTATCTACTGTAACTCGAAATCAGACCCAATCAATCCACAATTTGACCCCAATTCTGTGAGCGACATCCCCATTCTCAAGAACTATTTGCCATTTAACAAATATTTTCCACTCACAATGGATCCAAGTGAACAATGACTTTATGGTAGAAGATTTTAAAATGATTTCAGTCTTTACCAAAATCCGAACATGTGATGAGAATCTGATAGAGATGGCAAAGGTTTTAGTGCTTAAAATTTTTAACGACAGTAAAACTAGGACCGCAAAAGAGAAGAGCAAAAAGAATGATTTACCTGGCAAAGCTTTAATTCAGCAGAACTAATGGCTTGGTCCAATGTGTAAAGCAGAGAATCATCCCATGCCAATGTTAAAGCCAAGATTGAGCAATCCTCAAACTCGTCCAGCTCAATCTAAAAAGAATATGTCACAGCGAAGCTAATTATTTTCAACAGTAAGAAGCAGATCGCAAGCTGTCGTTTTAGCACTTTCGTCATTAAGTACAGCTTCCAACGTTCTTTATGATGATAATAAAAAGGGAAGTGAAACAAGTAAAATTCTCTATCCAAGTAACCGAGTGTTGCCCATTTAACCTGAGGAATAACAGCATAGAATGAGTGGGAAACACGCTCCACATGAGAAGATTTGTTGTCGTAATCGATTCCCATAAAGCCATAAGCACTTGTCAGCGGTGAATCAGCTGAAAGATATCTGAGTAGCAATCAACGTTAACATTTTACTTTTAACGTAGCAATAAAAAATTATGCATACTCGATGTCAATTCATAATAAAACTTAAGGATTCCATAAATACAAACAAAAGAGCTACATGACGAAAAGAGAAGGGAACATTAAGGTATTTAAAAAGCCTCTTTATGCACAGAAGTGAGCATCATCATCCAAGAGACCGGAAACCATTGAAGCACCTAAAATTTCCCTCTTTTTTGTATAAGATAAGAACAAACGGCGTTCCCAATTTATATTCAGATGGTCAGGTTTATAAACACCTGGCCCCATCAGACAGAGAAAAGAAACCTGTCATTTTCAAACCAATATTGTCCCAATAAATGGGAAACATGAGTTTATCAACTTTATAAATGTTGCTTTACAGAACATTGGACAAAACTTGCAACGTCACTTTAGTAGGAGTCCAAAAAAGAACATATGATTTTGATTCCACGTGATTTTTTATCCAACTAATTTCAGTTAGCTGCACTATGTACCAACAAAAATCCCCTAACCCATATGACACAAATAAAGTGCAAATGGTTGCAAACGAAGTATTTGAGGACAAATGCAAAAAAAAAAATCAAGTACAAATAAAATCATTCTAGTCAGGCCAAAACGCAAATTGAATATATATTTTGCAACTTTGTTCTCGGGACTTTGTGAAAGGAATAATAATTTAATATTAAGTATTTACTTCTTGCAATAAAATGACTGGGAAATGATGAATCTCCTCATTGGTGATGAAGGGTTCACATCATAGGAGGCTGAAAGAGGGAAAGGAACAGAGTCCCAAACCGAGGAAAACCAGGCCTTGTGAGCCACTTCTGCCGAGGTGATTTTGAAGGAACAACTGTAACGTTATTAAGGCTTGATTTTGAAGTTCAACATACAACGTTATTAATTTCAAGATGTTTGAAACCACTTTCTCGGTTGTTATTTGAGCTTTGATTGATTTCCAACCATTCAGCCATTCTGGCGATTGCCAATATTCCTCGTTCTGCAGTGGCATTTCTTAATTTTGACTTACTAGTTCTGTAGACAACGGCTTTATGGTGGCAAAGCCGAAGGTGACAAACAAGTATACTATGGTGCCCTAAGTAACCAACGAGTACCTGGTGTTCATATGCTAATACGTTTTGACGACTAACCTCTGCATAAAGTAAAGGAAATGGCGAATTGAGTCAGAAACTTACCCAGTAGCAGTGTTCTACGCCGTTTTGAATGATCTGTTTACTCATTATTGAGTGCTTTTTATCCAAATATTGATATTTCAAACTCTTGATTACTGTTCTTAAGCTAATCATGCGGAACAAGCATAGAGGAAAACTAATGAAATACTACATGGATACCCAACTCACCGGTTGTCTTAAAATAGTCAACAGATCGATTATCCGTATTTTAAGCTTGCACATCCACTTGCAACTAGTAAGAACTTTGCCGGGTATAAAGTGGCACAAACTCCCGAGCCTCAGTCTATTGAAGGGCCTGAAGTTCCACTTTTATTGCGTATTGCCGCAGCGGAGCTGTGCTTCAAGGAATAGGTTTCAGACTCATTAGGGTTATGAATGACCCAAAGAGAGTTCCCTGTACGACCTCCTGATTAAGTTCCGTTTAGGATTTTGTGAGTTGCATTTCCAGGACGAATTTAATGGCACAGCCGACGGCGAGTTTCCCCTCACCAAGTGGCAAAGCTCTCCCTTTCGCTTCCGTAGCGAACAATCCACTGGAACGCAGAGTTCAACTGGACCATCTACCACAGAACGACCAGGTGGGTTCTGTCACCCGGATGCAGAAAACGGTACAGGCGGGGGTTTGGCTCTTGCAGCCATGGTTGAAAATGGCTGACGGAGAAAGGCTGGGAGGGATGGCCAAGATTAAAAATCAACAAGCACTGGGCCATTTAAGAGACTGCAAGCAGCGGCTTTGGCGGACAGCGCACGAGAGAGATCAACCATTGATGTCACTAAACAGAGATAGGCTCTGGTGACGCCGACGGCAACAAGGGCAACACATCCGTTGGGCCTTGACGACGTGTTGTTCTGCCAGCAGATGGGCAGAAAATGGAGAGATGGAAGGGAAGTCAAGTGTGGAAGGGAGAAGGAATGGGAGGAAAGAAGAGACGAACGGAGCAGAGGGAAGTGGAAGGCCAAATAAACAAACGAGCAGAATGTCATTAGAAGAGGAAATATAAAGAAAAATAATGAGAGACTGACCTCCTTAGTTTTGTCGTGGCCGAGGTAGGAGAAGAACCCGCAATGTAGACCGCAGCTCCGATTCCCGAAACTCCGAGCAACCCATCAGGTAGGGACAAGGGAACAGGGTCATCCTTCTTGTTCGTCGACAAGAAAAATTGGGGGAATATTTTGGACGAGCTGTGCTGAGAGAATAGCCAATTCACAGCTTTTATGCTTGGAGGCACTGCAATCTGCGGATTCAGAAAAAAAAATCATCAGCTATTGTGCTTGATGACTATAGATGAAAGCTGGAAAAGTCGTTGAAGAAGAGCATAGCAGTTGAACAATAAATACAGAAGCCAATTCGTCGGCAGACTCCCGACAAAATTACAGCAGATGACGAACGATGTAAGAGAAATAAAGGACAACAACGGAGGAGGCGGGAGGCTGCATGACGAGAATCAGAGGTAATTAGGAAAAGAGAATAGTAAAACCTCAGGCCGGAAAAAGAAAAAAAAAACTCTGATAAACCTCAGTCCAACATCACGATCGTGTTTTATGTTTCGATGTGTGATGCAATTCAGAGGACAGAAACAAACCTCAGTGAATCTCCGGTTCGAAGGTTCCGAAAAGAAAAAGAAAATGTAGATTGACAATACATACATAATAAACAGTACGAGGACAATATGGAAGGTGTCCTACCTGAAGCCTCAGCACACCACTTGCGAGGCTGAGAGAGTTCGACTTCATCTCCGCGATCTCCTCAATCATTTTCCCAACAGCCTCCGCCATCGTGAGCGCCGGCGGCAACGTGCGCGTGACGCAAATCTCCAACGGCAACTCTGATTCACAATTCGCGAGAAATCCATCCTCCATCCCGGACAGCAGCCGCCGCGCAGCCGTACCATCATCGGGAGAATGAAACTAAAATGCCACACAAATCACCGTCAGAACCGGAGATTCAAATCCGAGGAGAAGAGAACAATGAATATCCGTCAGGAAAGTCAGACCACCTCTGCCTCAGGTTCTCTGTAGCACCGAACTGGCTGGACACAGCTGAGACTGTGGGACGAACCACGGTGAAGGAATTGGAGCTTCCACGCACTAGTACGCCGCAGGCGCCGGCGGCAGCCGCGGAAGAGGTTCGTCGTCCTCGAGTCACCCGCGGGGAGGCGCAGGGCCGCGGCCCCCGGTTGCTGCAAGAGGTCGAACCTCATCATCTCAGGGTGAGAGGAACACGCAGAGAGGATGGGGAGGAGGACAATGTCGTCGGAAAGTTTGAAATCATCGAACAGGAAAAGAGCAGGAACTTAAGCTGGGAAGCCCTCAAACGGTAGTGCGCCGCATCTATTTTACATTTTTTTCATATTAATTCCTGATAAAAAAAACTCTTCGTATTTGACCTTATTCAATTTATATTTTGTTCAGACAGACGGCTGCCCATCTATATCTCTCGGAAAATGCTTTTTCTGCAATTAAATTTCTTAGATCACAAACAACGCGGTGTCCACGAGACTGGTAACCACGATTGATCGTCCAATCCAAGCTAGGCTAGAATCTCGTCTGACTCCTCCCCCATTAGTTCCGAAATTGATAACAATTTATTACTCAAGTTGACCGTCACAAGATAAGTGTACAAATTATTCCCCTATAAATGGGTAATAATCCATCAATCATCCAATCCATTTATAAGCACTTAACCCCTTGCAAAAAAATGTCAGACATTAATCCTAAAATAATCCATTTGGCTCATTAATTTAGATCCAACTACACATATAGCTATCGTTCATTAATACAATACTTTGACTCCAGACATTAAATTCAACCTTATAATTGACTATGCCAATATATTCACCAAGGAGCCAAAGAAGTCTAGGCCATTATTATGTAATTAAATATAAGCCGTCCCCGGCTTTACTGGCTGGACTGCCCAAAGAGTGAAAAGAGCCGAACGGACTGACTTCAACTGCGCTGTGATTAATGCTGATACAACTTATAAAGCACTGCTGGGAAGATCCAGGTTGCATGAGAACTGGGTCGTGCCTTCTACATTATATCAATGTCTAAAGTATACTGTGGGTGGGGTGAGTTTTTCCCATAGGATAACCCAAAGTAATCCAAACTATTAGCATGTCCTTGTTTCATGGTTGGCACGTCATAAATGACAACTTATAGGCAAAATATTTGACTTATCTTATCTTGCCAACTTGCTCAAACCTTCTAGATTCATTGTTTGGCGTGATGAATGAGAGTCGCGTGCATGCATTTGGTTGCACCAATTTGCTTAACAACTTTGAAAAAAAAAGTAAAATAAAGGAAAACCTTATTATAAATAAACAGGTTTGTGAATGAGAAAGCATGTTTTATATAGACTAGGCATTACGTTTTATACTACAATGTCTAGTATATGTTTTAAAATGATTTTGGCTGACATAAATATCATTTTAAAGAAGACAATTTAACCCTTGATGAGACTCAAAGGTTATTACTGAAATGAACTACGTCTTGCGCCTAATAGCCTTACTGTAAATGAACTATGCCTTGCACCTAGATTGTGGAGGAGAAAGTAGGTTTGTATAGAGTAGTCAGTACGAGGGAAATAAGAGTAAAAACATATGGGTCTTATGTCGCATTCTCAAGGGAAATATCTTTTCCTTTTATTTCTACAGAGTTTTGTCATTCGTTTTATAGTGCCATGTCAAATGGATGTCATTTTACAAAAAATAATAACCCTTGATGAGATCCACGTTGTGTTTGGATTGGATGGTCCAATCACCACCAAATCACCACCATTGAATTGATGATGTGTGTATAATTCTGGCGATCAAGACCAAGACAAAAGGGTTTTTTTTTATTAAAACCGTAAAATACCCCACATTTATTTTCTCTAGAATTTAGTTCTCGTAAAATACTTAGAACGATAACCTATTTTACGTGTTTTTTTATTAATGATAGATATAGTACGACCCTCATTTTGAGAGTTGATAGTACAATGAACCCGATCTCAATTTTCGTCGATAATAAATCGATTGAGACGCAAATTTTGACCCAATCTAACCTCTAAATTAATTACCAGAGACCATATAATCTAAATTTTAATTTTTCAGGCCGTCTTGGACGGAGACCATTCGCGCGCTCCCCGTCGGAAGCTGACTCCGTCCGCCGCCGCCCGATCGCAGAGGCAGGAGGGAAGGTGCGTCACGATAATCACAGGGTGACGACAACGACGGCGGTTGTCGACGGCCACGGCGGCGGCGACCTCCCATTAAGATAATGGTGGATCTCCGTAGGAACGTCTGTAAACCGTCTTCAATGCCGGGAATTTGCTAGTGCGGGGGGCCAGCCCATCCCCCTTAGGCACTACCCAAGCATCTAATCACATGCGTGAAGAGGGCCACTCCTGGTTGTTTAAAGAAAACCACAGATGAGGAGGAAGAAGACGCAGAAGGACGAGGAAGAAGAAGAAGAAGAAGCAGAAGAAGAAGCAGAAGCAGAAGAAGAAGAAGAAGAAGAAGAAGCAGAAGAAGAAGCAGAAGCAGAAGCAGAAGCAGAAGCAGAAGAAGAAGAAGAAGAAGAAGAAGAAGAAGCAGAAGAAGAAGAAGAAGAAGGGAATTATCGCATGAGAATAGAAAAATCGGTGAGAAGAGGGGGGCGGACACCGACGAGCGTCAGCGGGGGCACATAAGATAATCGAGTGGGAGGAGGGCCGGGCGCCACTGGAGATCGTACTTGAATGATGTAGCTAATGACATCGAGGGTCGCCGCATTGCGGCGCCAGGAGGAAAAAGAGGGCCTTTTTTTTTTCTGGTGGGTTGAAAGGGGAATTGGAGTTGCATCATCGGGCAATTCGGGGACGACGGGGTGTAGTCTTATTCTATCGTCTTCGTCTTCTTCCTGCTCTCCCTTTTCATAAAGCTCTGAAAGAGTCCTCATGTATAGAAAGCTATGAGACGATTGGCCGCCGTCGTCGGCTTTCGTTCCAGAGAGGAGGAGAGGGAGGTGAGCTTATCCTGTCCCAGCCAATCGTAGGAGACCCCTTCTACGGCAGGCATGAAAGGAGGAGGAGAAAGGAGAAGACTGGTGAGGCTCGCCGGAGGATGGGGAGGGGGAGAGTGAAGACAAAAGAACACTCTGCCACCCACCCTTCTCCTCCGTCCAGTGAAAGCTGGCTACCCAAAGACATAGCTATAGCCATAGCTGAGAAGAAACAAACAACACACAGCCCCTACCGTAAACTCCCTCTCTGAGTCTCCCACGGCTTCCCCTTTGACCTGACCGTCTGAGAGAGAGAGAGAGATTCCGACGGTAAGAGAGGAAGACCCGGGGCCGGCGGGGGCGGGGGGGCGGTCGAGGGAAGGAGAAGGAGGGAAGCAAATGGGGTGGCAAAGTGGTGCACGAGTGCACTCACTCAACTCCCTTCCCATCCCCGGTGCAGGAGGAGAAGGTGTGGCCGTCAAGTCAGCCCCTCACGCCATGACTATCGTCCACCTGGCATCATCTTCGGCTCCTTATTCTTCTTCTCCGTCTTCCTCCCATCCACCATGGCGCAGTCCACCCTCCCTGAAAGGATCCCACTCACGGCTGACCCGCGGAGGGAGATCATGTCCTCGACGAGGACGGAATCTCAGATATGAATCCAAAACTGGCAGAAATCTACACCCATTAGAACAAGCAAATCCGACGTAGATTTCCTGCAAAAACGACTAGTTTTATTGCCCGAAACCCGACTAGTTGTATTCATTTTAGGACACTCTAATTCATATAAATAACTGAGTCTTCCGCAGGGAAGAGTCCCGAAAATATGAGAGAGAGAGAGAGAGAGAGAGAGAGAGAGAGAGCATAGACTATAGCTGTTTACGTAGCGTTCTTTAGATAATGCACCTTGCCCTCGAGATAAAGAGCCGCTATATAGGGCATCAAGCCAAAAGGTAGTACCTTTGCAGTGTTCTACAGCTCTGACGAACTCTTCATGGAGGCCATCCACGAGCATATGTACGTTGAGGGGCATATTCGGATACTTACTGCCGAGCATTGAATTATGCCCTTTTATGAGAATAATGGAATACATAGATGCACGCGATTGGAAGATATATCATATTTTTAGTTTTCAACACAATTTTAAACATATTGTCATGACTTTTCGGAGTTTTTTATTTACGTTATCTCTTTTAAAACTTCTTTTATGAATATTCCCTTTGCTACAGATAGGCTCACTGCAGCGAAATGAGGGGGGAGAGAGGGAGAGACAGAGGGAGGGAGACACAGAGAGGGAGAGCGAGAGAGAGAGAGAGAGAGAGAGAGAGAGAGAGAGAGAGAGAGAGAGAGAGAGAGAGAGAGAGAGAGAGAGAGAGAGAGAGAGAGAGAGGGAGACAGAGAGACAGAGAGGGAGAGAGAGGGAGACAGAGAGACAGAGAGGGAGAGAGAGGGAGACAGAGAGACAGACAGAGAAAGACGGTAAGGAAACCTTAGTGACCAATCTTGTCGATGACGAGACCGATCGAGTCTTGGTGATTCCTCGCTGAAAAGCTTGTCACCGGTCTCCGTCTTTTACGAATATCGGAAAAGTAAAAAAGCAATTTTCTAAGTTACAAGGGTTGGATAAAAACGTCCAACAGCGTAGATACGACAAAAGACCGCAGCCTGTGCGAACGTATTTTGTCGTTTTTCTGTTCACGTGAAGGACCCCTGACAGTTAATCAGAAGTCCGAAAATTTAGTACAAAAACATTTTCGATATTATCAATAAAATACAAATTTTGTAAAAAAAATGACCGTCTTGGAGAAAGGTATTTCAAAAAACGCTCTTTTTTATTTAATGTCCAAGCATCATAAAATGAGTTTAATATATTATAAAATAAGGATTTTTTATTTTTTTTTGCCCTGTCTATTATGGAGAAATGACGTATCAGAAAATATATGTTTTCAACAATTAATACATATATTGATATTAACAGAAAATTCCCAGAAAACGCACGTCGGCGGGCCGCCCCGGGGGAAGAGGCCCACAACGGTTCAGCTTGGGGTCTCGCTGATCCGCCAGAATGACATAAGAAAAAGAGTCCCGCGCATCATACAACCTCCCATCCAATGGGATTTCGACAAGCTGTCACAGTCATCGGTAGTTAAACTCGGGAGCAGGACCATGTAGTAAGGAGCGCGTGTCCAAAACCAGATGAAAGAAGAAAATTAAGAAAAAAACCATGGTGAAAGCGACCTCCGTTTGAGGAGCCTCCACTGTTGAGGCCTTTATAATCAATCTCCTATCCTCCAGAGAGAGCTCCGAGCGGTGGTTGGTCGGGAGGTAACCGCACCGCCCCCCCGGCCCAGTTTTGGCACCCCCATAAACAGTGGGTGGGGTCACCGCCTTGGTCTCTTGACTCATCTTTCTTCTTTCCCCGAAAGAGACCTCCCCTCGTCATCAGGTGGGCTCTCTCTCTCTCTCTCTCTCTCTCTCTCTCTCTTCTTTCTCTCTCTTCTCTAGAGATGGAGGAATGGGTTTCTTTCCGGCGGTGGCCATTTAGGAACATTCTCTGATTACAGTAATGGCTACCGGGAAAAACAGGGATGTGGGGGGTTCACCGGGGGCGCTGGCCGCCGGCGCCGGAGACGGACGTCGCTCCGGCGAGGGTATAGGCAGTTGCTTGGTAGGCCGCCGCTATTAATGCCCGGCAGGGCGACGAATGGCTCCGTCGCCGGCGGTGGGGCCCCCGTGTTGGTATGCCGTCACCGGGGATGACGAGGAGTATGTCTGTTGCACCTCCTCCTGCATGCGGAATAGATAGGAGAACGTTGAGAACTCGTGGAGGCGGGTAGCGTGGGCCCTCTCTCTCTCTCTCTCTCTCTCTCTCTCTCTCTCTCTCTAACGGAGTTCTATATAAGAAGCTACCACCCAACTGGTTTGGCTCCCCTCCCGCCGAGGCTCAGAGAACTTTTTCCTCTTCTTCTTTACTGCGCTTCAGCTCCTGCGTCGTCTGCAGACGCCTTACATTCTGCGGCGGGGAGAGAGAGAGAGAGAGAGAGACTATAGGATGCAACCCGGGGAGGTGGCCAGCCTGGGGTACCCCCTGCTAGAGAGAGAGAGGATGGCGATGGGGGAGAGGGGCATGGCGATGCCGCCGTTCCAGTTCAGCAGGTTCTTCAGCCCGCCGCCGCCGGTCGCCGCTGCCGTCGCCTCCTCCAACTCCGACGAGGGGGACGGGCAGCAGCGGGGCCTGGTGGTGGAGGAGCGGCGGCGGCGGCGGATGATCTCCAACCGGGAGTCCGCCCGCCGCTCCCGCATGCGGAAGCAGCGCCATCTCGACGAGCTCCAGTTTCAGGTCTCCGGCCTCCGCTCAGTCAATCGCCGCCTCATCGACCAGCTCAACCGCGCCATCGCCGACCGCGACCACACGCTCCTCGAGAACTCCCGCCTCCGCGGCGAGGTCTCCGGCCTCCAGCGGCGCCTCCAGGCCTCCGCCGCCGCCTCCCTCGGCCACACCCACTCCGACGAACTCAACCAGGAGGAACACGAAGAATCTCACCCATCTTCCAACCTTCTTCCCTGAGCAATATCCTCTCTCTTTCTCTCTCTCTCTCTCTCTAACACTATCATTCTCTAACTGGGGATTCCGACCTCCATTAGAGATGCAGAGAAGCAGCGATGGATCCTGCAAAGAGCAAGCTTTATTGATGATGATCACAACGGAACGTTAATTAACCAGAGAATGCGACCTCAAGATCCAGAATCCCTCCCCCATCCCCCCTTCCCTCCTTCCCGAAGAACAGAAAAGAAAAACTAAGAAAAAAGAAAAAAAAACAGACCCACTGGGGCATCTTCTTCCCTTGCGCCTACTTCATCCCGCAGAGAACATTCGCCGCCTGGCGAGCGAAGTAAGTGAGGATGACGTCGGCGCCGGCGCGTTTTATGCACATCAGCGACTCCATCATCACCTTCTCCTCGTCGATCATCTTCAGAACAGCGCCGGCTTTAATCATGGAGTACTCCCCCGAGACCTGAGAGGAGATCGACCGCCATGGATGAGGAAACGAATCGAGAACAAGCTCGGGCGTAAGAACATGTAGAACGGGGCCCTTGGAGGAAAATAATGGATCAGAAAGTCGGATCAAGATATATCCAGAGCGGGATGAATGAAGCATAAAGGTGAAGAGGTTGTGGCCCATGAACCACTCAAGGTTGACTCTCGCTTGGAAGATGCCGGAGAACAAAAGATAGGTTCCCTGAGTGAACGACCAACAAGGATCCGCCGCGAGGCGGCGAATCCTCTTTAAATCAAATGAGAGAGAAAGGGAGGGAGATGAAATCCTCCTCAAGTGTCAGCGTAGAAGTCAACGGGGACGTGGAAGACAACTGAGGTACCTGATAAGCCGCAATGGGTAGAGCAGAGTTTTGTCGGAGAAGCCGCACAATATCCAGGTAGGGTAGAGCTGGTTTAACCTGTTGCCAAAATAAGAAAATTTTCTCAACACAGACCCAGACCGATCATGCTCTTCAAAATTCTTCAAGATGAACAGTAAATGTTTACTAAATGCAGGGACTCACCAAAAGGATATCAGCACCCTCGGCCACATCCTCGTGCGTTTCTATCAGGGCTTCCCGGAAATTCGCTGGGTTCATCTGATAGCTGTTTTTTTTTTTTTTTTGGTTTACCAAGATAAGAGGATAAAAAAACTATAAGCAACACCGATCATTTATTTTTTCCCTAGATGAAGGAGAAAATGATCATAAACAACATAAAAAAATTGGGAAGAGGAGAGAGAGAGAGAGAGAGAGAGGGACCAATGAAGGCTGATGGTGCTCACGTTTTCTTGTCACCAAAGCGAGGATTTGAATCGAGAGCCTCTCTGAATGGACCGTAGAATGCACTTGCATACCTGTTTCGAAAGAATAGTTTGGAGAAGGTTAAAGATGCCGTTTTCGATTTCGCTCAAAATGAGTGAGAAGATTTTAGCGAGAGAGAGAGAGAGAGAGAGAGAGAGAGAGAGAGAGAGAAGCAGAGGCTCACTTTGCAGTGTAAGACATGATTGATACGTCGTGGAATCCCTCGGCATCTAAAGCCGCTCGAATTGCTGCAACGCGCCCGTCCATCATGTCGCTGGGACTCACAACGTCGGCCCCTGCTCGAGCCTAGTTCCAGCAAGCGTTGACCAAGATAGGAAAGAGTACTTAGAACGGCCATGAACCAGAGGTTGCTTGAAGGAAGGGTTTGACAAATCAGAGGCTAGGGAGGAACTACTACGCTCGGATCACCTGAGAAACAGCTTGCTTGCATAGCTGATGAACTGTCTCGTCATTCATGATGACCCCTGAAGCCAGTTCAAGAAATATTGTCAGTACATGTATCTACTTGCAATGCTTTTGATAAGGGACCGCAGTAATGACTTATTTACTGAAAAGGGAAAATAAATGTTAATTAACCTGACAACCAAGATACCAACAAGTTTATATGGACCGCATTAAAGCTCTTCTAACAATGTAGATACAGATAAAAGCCAGAAACTGGAACAATATTACGTTCAAGTTTTTTTTTTCACATGGAATCAGACTGAACGGCCAAGAGATTAAGTAAAACCTAGAGACTGGAAAAATAACTTGTCGAAACTATCTTTTTCACGTAGAAACAAACTGAACGATGGGCTGTGCTGTGTGGATTAATCAGCATTGGAAAAAAAATAGTCCTTTTCCCCTAGAACTGTTGAAGGGCTGCAGATTTGGCCACATGGTCAAGTTTAAACAGACCTTTTTGATGAAGATATGACCACCAAAATAGCATCCTCCTTTTCATTATTTTAATGTTCTAACCAAAATCTTGTTTGTTCTATTGTGAGCATAGACTCTCAGTCATGCTTGAAATCATTTTAATTGTAAAAACTATGAAACAGAACGAAACTCATAAAAAAAATCCACTTATCCAGTTCATTCTACATAAATCGGTATCAAGTATTTTTTGCGAGCAAAAAAGGGGAAAGTATAATTTTAATCTACAAGCCAAATCATCCTGCAGAGATGATTCCGAATTCACCCTGCCAAAGAAAAAAACTTACCATCTTCCCTCACAATGCCATCATGGCCGTCGGAGTTGTAGGGATCCAATGCAACATCCGTGTAGATAACCTGGAAATAAGCATCTATGAACTCCACGAACTGCGGCATCAAATTGAGTTAAATATGTGGGGCACAAATTTGAGGCTGCACGCTCACAATGTCAGGGAATTTGTCCTTGAGCAAGCGTAAGGTGCGTGGGACAAGACCATTGTCATTATATGCTTCGTCCCCGGTTGGAGTCTGCATAGAAAATGTGGATTGATTTTATTTCAAACTTTGATACATGCGAGGGAGACCGGACTAAGGATAAAAATCATGCTACCTTCAGTGCGTCAGGAACTTTGGGGAAGAGTATGAAGCTGTTGATGCCAACATCTCGGGCTTTGTAAACCTGCATAAGATAATCTTAGGCGCTATTTGTTCACAAGGGAAACTTTTATTATACCATTCATCAAGCTTCATTCGAACCAATGGGTAGATACACATCTTGAGCACATTAAATAACTTTATTTCTTGCATAAGCATCAGTGTTTAATACCCAAGAGTGTTAATGACTAGTAATGACATGGCGGGACATAGATGATGAGCATTTTATGTGACTGTCCAGTTGAATCAGGGAGCTTTCCGCCTCAGTAAGACATTGAATCACCACCCACTTCAATAATTAGAATATAGTTGGGAAGATTTCTTCACTGGCAATACCGCCAAGAAAGTGTGATAAAGAACGGGAAGATGATGGATGGAAGACCCGGCTGAACTACAACCTTCTTCCTTCCCATCTTTGATATGCATTTCGTCACACTATGTTACTCTCATGGAGAGTCGGAACCCATCTCATTCAACTAAAAAAACAGGTATTTTGAGAAATAAAAAAAATCATCCTCGAAAATTGGTAAATTGGTTGAGAATGTCAAGGTGCAAAAGCAATTTGTCTCCTTTAATTTTCCATCTCTAATCAGAGCTCATGTCAAAATCTCAAGTTTTAGTTCATTCACAGGCGCTTCTGCTGAAGACATAAAGTATCATTATTATCAACTTCCCTACCAGCGAGAGCTTCAAACAGACAGACCTTGAGGTCTCCTGCTGGTTCGTTCATTGGTCATCTTTTTCGCTCAACCTACGTTTCCTTCATTTTCTCCATTTCCTCCTAATAAGATCTTCAAGGCAAGATCAGTTCGTGGTATTGTTTACGACAGCTCAGTCCAAAGGGGTGCAGTACAAGCGCTATCTGATAATTCCCTGGAATGCATTAGCTCCGGATAGTTTTCATATATGATATTTTCTTTCTTATTCGTTTTCCCTTTGCTCTCTCCTGTGCTTTTATCTTTAACAGTTTTTCATCAACTATCTCTTTTCATAAAAGTAACGATTCTTATAATTACGATAAATTCTTAAATATCCCTGACCTTAAATAACTCTGGATAATCCCGGAATTCCGCAAGAAAATATGATTAAAAAAGTATTTTAGGTGGATAATGATGAAACAGTTGATGCCAATACCTCATCAAGAAGGCCGTGCCTCCAACCCAACCTGAAGCATCCGGGCATGGCTCCAATCGGAGTGTCCTCTTCACCTTCAATTATAATAAACAAAGATTGGTTAGCCTTGGGAAGGTCAAAATATATGAAGATTGCAGCACAATAAAAACCTCATTGCTATTTAGCTATTAAAAAGAATGGATAAAAAACATATTTAAATTTATAGATCACTTAATCAGTCACTACCTTCATGGATGAACAGGGGAAGCACAAAATTTGCAGGAGATAGATGAGTTTCCTGGAAGGCCTCCCTAAGGGCAGGTGACTTCCGATTACGGCGAGGTCGCTTGATAAGATCCTTAAATGAAAGGGAAAAAAATAACATCATAAACCAATTTTCCCAGACAAAAAGTTCAATAAACAGAAGAACCGAAGATTATGCCTTCCTATATATCACTAAACAAGAGGAGCCCTAGTGATTTGTTCATCTCCATTCTACGGCTGAAGAGATTGAAGGGATTCTTCCAAAAAACTAGTTATTCTTTAAAATATTCATCTCTTAAAGCAAAAAAATCCACATTAAATGAACTAAGATGCCATCAGTTGTGCCTAATTCAGAATGCAAAGGACAAAGGAATTTCAACGATGAGAAAAAATATATATATTTCTGAAGGGAGGACTCACCAGGGGCGTAATTTTGGGTGTTCCCTGGGGCCCCCGGGGTCTAACAAAGGGTGGGGGAGCAGGGAAGTTTCCAGCCACTGCAGCGGCTTCACATTCTTCATTGGTCAATCCAGAAGTTTTCAGAGAGGCGGAACGGTCCTCGCTTGCCCTAATTGCAGTGTGACCTCGAACCCCGATCCGGCACAGAGAAAAGCTTAATTTCCGAGTGGTAGATTGCCTCAGGCCAATATAGCTCCCATCTTCGATCTTGCCGACGACTCCGGCGTGGCCGAGCGACGTAGAAACTGCAAACGCCATGTCCTAACTCAATCACGCACCGCCTGCAGGGAAGAGGGGAGAACCCACGAACAGAATGATGAAATCAGAAAACTAGTACAGGAGAAACCAAACAAAAGCCGCGCGAGAATCACGCAGGCGCAAGTACGACCCAGGCTTTCGAGGGGTTCACCAATCTTGCCACTGATCATCAGAAACTATTCAGCGGGGAGAAGGCGTTCTAGCGTTGAATTTTCGAAAACAATCTCGCATTCCGCGCGTTCGAAGCAATTAATCGAAAGATATTCATCCGCTGGCCGTCGACGGGCGGCTATTACCTCGCTTAAGATGCACAGATAGCCGGATAAAAGCGGGGGACGAGGAGGGCGAGGCGAGCGGCAGAGGCTCGGAGGTTGTCGTACAGGACCCGGTTGTCCCCAGTGGGTCAAACTGAGAAAGGGAGAGGAGAAAGGAGCCTTCACCCCGACCAAATGGCCCCTTATCTATTTATCCACCCCGACCAGTTGATATCCCACAGAGGAAGGAGCGAGTGGTAGAGAACTGGTAATCGGGATTCTCGCGTCAATGGCGCCGCCCCGGCCCCTGGCCCACCAAACTGGACCCACCTCGTCCTTGCCGTGCATCGGTCCTTCATCCAAAAGCGGGGAAGCTTCGACCTTAGTGAGTGAGTGAGTGAGTATGAGAGAGAGAGAGAGAGAGAGTAGAGATTCAAGCTCCGGAGATCCTTCCGGGAGATCTTCTCGGACAAGCCAGTGGGCGGTGGTCAAATTCTCTCCTCTCAGCCGGCAAGAACCCACCTGCCGTGAGCAAAACCTACAAGATAGATACCTATTTTTATTTGATAATTTTTATTCTCAATAAAAATTTATAAAATAAAACTTTTAATCATTTGCATCTGCCATATGCATATACATATATATAAAACCTTTATTATTCATTTAATTATTTACATGGATAAAACCTTTATCTGGGTGTCCTAAGCCTCCAGATCTCCAGCCAACTTAGTTAGCAAGATGAATTTTTTTGGTAAATTTAATATTAAATTCAAAAAATTAAGCTTACAGTAGTATCTACATTTTATTGTGAGTATGTATAACTCCATTTGTTTTTTTGGCCTGTGACAAGAGGATAATAATTATTTTTATTCATATACATAAATTATATACTCAAGTATAATTTTATTATCAGGTATATTTAGAATAATTATTACATGTTCTGTTATTATCTGGATGCTTAGAGGGTAAGGTTAGAGTCAACAAATATAAGTTTACATAAATTTCATTATTTTTTGTAATATTTGAGTTTTGAATAAATATTGATGTTATCTTATCTACATATATCTATTCGCTCGTGAATATCTCTATCCACGTGTTCACCTAGTAAGCTGCCGGGTAAGGCAACTAGATAGTCGTAGAGGCCCATTAACGGGGAGGATACTGGGTCTGAGAGAAAGTTCATATTTGTTTTCCAGCCCCAATAATATTATCGGATCTTTAGAACTAACCCGTTTTGAGACCCGGCCCAGGTCCACGACCGTGGGAGATTTTGGCGGCAAAGGAAGGAAAAAATCTCACCTTCTTCCACTTCTTATCTTGTCTGCACGAGCAGAGCGGAGACGAGAGGAGCAGCGGACGGGAAAATTCATGTCGTCGGCGTCGTCCTCGGCATCGCTCATCGCCAGGCCGCCTCCCTTTCGTACGCCAGTGCCGACCAGGAGGCCCTTTCCTCCTCGTCCCTTCTTCGCTCTCGCCCCAAGGTGCCTGGCCAAGGAGCTCCATTTCAACAATGACTTCTCCGCCACAAAGAGGCTCCAGGTTTGATTGCAAGGATGCCGGCGTTTGTGCGCATTCTCTGAACTCAGTGTTGATGCGTGTTCTCTGGCTTTTTCTATCTTTGTGTGGATTTAGGCTGGGGTGAACTTGGTGGCGGATCTTGTGGGAGTGACCTTGGGTCCGAAGGGCAGGAATGTGGTTTTGCAGAACAAGTATGGACCCCCTAAGATCGTTAACGATGGGGAGACTGTTCTCAAGGAAGTATGTCCGCTTGATCTCAAATCTAGAAATGGGATTCGAATACTCTTCTTTTTTTTGGTCTTAAAATGACGTAATTTAATGGTTTCCTCGCTGACGAGGCTTCTTCTGTTCGTCCCGAATTTACAAATTTGGAATTAGAGAATGTAGGAACGATGATTTCTGTTAAGATGCTCTATTTTTATCTGCTATCTTAGTAACGTGTCTCCATTTTCGGACGTCTAAAGGTTGAATTGGAGGATCCGCTGGAGAACATTGGCGTGAAACTAGTGAGACAGGCCGGGGCGAAAACCAATGATCTCGCTGGGGATGGGAGTACAACGTCTGTTGTTCTTGCGCAAGGCCTGATAGCTGAAGGTGTTAAGGTACAGGCGATGAAGTATTACCCTCCGGAACTAAACCGTGTGCCATTTTCATCCACGTCAACTCGCATGTTCTTTCCTCTTTCACAATTAGATTGTTCAAAAGAGTCGGTTGATTCGCAGTAGTATTGCTTGAAGTTTAACGAATAAAATATACATATGAATAATGTATATATCTATGTATTGGTCACTAAGATTTTAAAATGAATGATCTGAAAGCTAATAGCATCTAAATAATTTGCGATTTGGACCAGTGAATGGAGCAACCGATAAAGCAGTTGAATGGAGAATACGAAAATTTGTGCTGAATAGAAAGCTTGATATCATCTTCTTTTAATTATTTCTAAGAAGGCAAGAGATTGCATCATATCTATCTGTACCCAGTTGATTCCAAGACCTATTATTTAAGAGACTAGTCCATTTTTGTGTTGAAACTTTTTGATACTTTCTTTTATTGTACGCCATAATGTGGAGAACCAATAGAACACTCGGTTGATTTTCTACTGAATAGGCCTGAAAGCCTCTGGAATCATGTTTGAAGTATCTGCAAAATGTTGAATTAATTTGGTTCCCCTTGGAGTTACGCATCCTACTTTGCAAATGAAATGTTTAGGTTCTTGCGGCAGGAATGAACCCTGTGCAAGTTGCAAGAGGGATTGAGAAGACTGCCAGAGCTCTTGTTTCTGAAATCCAATCCATGTCACGAGAGGTATATTTTTATCTTAAATCTAATGTGTGGCTTTGAGAATAATTGCATGCTATGAGTCATGGATGAATGCAGAAGCTCTATTCTGCAACTATAATTTCTTAGCCTTTCATGACTTGTTTGCAGTCTTACAAGATTCATGTATCACGTGAAACATTATCCATGATCTTTTACCACGGCTCATTAGTTCTGATTTTCCGTTTATGTTGCCCTTTCATGGAAAAACTGCAATGCTGGTCTTCTTGAAGATTCATTTAATTTGGTACCCTCACTATAATTTCCTATACACATAACTGAGTCGAACATGGTAAACATTCTCTTTGGGCTTTGGGTTTTCCTGTGGGTTTTCTGCTTGCATTCCCTTGGTATGTGAGCATGTTCTTGACGGTTATGAAGCACATTTGCTTGCATGTGATGCAAAGTTATCTGTGGTCGTTGCTTTTTCATCATTTTTTAACTGAAACAAGCCAATTATGGCAGTATTTTTTCTACAATCACTTCAATTTTTTATTTATCTTGTGTTCTATGATAAAAACACCCTTGCGAACGCCTATACTTCCATTCATCTTCCAGGTGAAGAAAGCTAGACAGACATCCCTGTCTGCAGTGTTGGACAAAGTAGCCACACTTTACTTTATGACCATTCCTAGAAATATTTTCTTCAAAGCTATAGTAACAATCCAGTCCTGATGTTTGTTCTTCCATAGAATTCTGTTTGATCCCTGTTAGTATTTCCATGTATTGTTAGCAATAATCCTACCTGAGATCAGGTCGACGGCTTGATTCTATATGATGTTGTGGGGATTGGGTTCGAATGAAAAATCCGTCTTGTTCTGGCGAATAACCTTTGAGAAGACCAATGTCACCCAGACGGCGACTGTACGTTCATTTTGCAATCAATCATATTTTAAGTGTGACGTCTAAATAAGTATGCTCATCGAGGTGAGTATATTTAAACTTCTCAAATGCTAAATAGTATAGTTCATATAGGTGAATATAATTCATCAACTCAGGGGCCAAATAGCTAAGTTCTGGCTAAACCCACTAGTGTAGTGAGTAAAGACCCCTTTACATGAAGTAAATGAATATATGTTCAAGGGGTTATGTGCTCGGTGCCACCAACATTGCATAATTTTAACTCAATTACAACTAAGAGTCAAAATCTGGCCGACGGTTTTCCTTTATCAACACTCTTGGAGCATACCTATGCTTCTGAAAGTCTGCGTTTATACTTCTCTAGTACTTTATCGTCGATCGACTTGCCTCAGAGTTACCTAGCGTAGGGGAACACTTGAAGCTGAAGCATTTGCATTCTGCAGGTTGAAGATAGTGAAATCGCTGATGTTGCTGCAGTAAGTGCTGGGAATGACTACTCAGTAGGAAACATGATAGCGGAAGCCCTGCAAAGAGTTGGAAGGAAGGGCGTGGTGAGGATTGAGAAAGGCAGGTCCACTGAGAACACCCTGGAAGTTGTAGAAGGAATGCAATTCGATCGTGGTTACTTGTCGCCTTACTTTGTCACAGATCGAGCAAACAGGACGGCCGAATTTGAGAATTGCAAGGTCAGGTGAGAACTACAACTTGCAGCTCGCATGATCATTATGAATAATAAATCCATTTATCCTCTTATTTGTACAGGTACTTTTGGTCGATAAAAAAATTACAGCTGCGAAAGAGATGTTCAAGATATTGGACGGTGCAGCTAAAGAAAAATACCCTCTTTTGATAGTAGGGGAGAGTGTCGAACAGGAAGTGCTGGCTCCAATAATCAGGAACAAGCTCAGAGGTCTGCTGAAGGTGGCTGTCATTAAAGCTCCTGCCTTTGGAGAGCGCAAGAGTCACTACCTTGACGACATTGCCATCTTGACCGGAGGTATTTGTCTGCAATTTAGGTTTTTTGTGTATATATTTGAGGACAACACCTTTGCTCTTCTTGTGCCCTCAGTTCACTTTCCTCGGGAAACATAGAGGAGTATGGATTGTCATTTGATGGGGTCCTGGTTACTTCTTCTGTGGTTTCTGTTTGTGGGGCAGGTACTGTGGTTAGAGATGATGTGGGACTTAGTCTTGAGAAGGTTGGGAAGGAAGTATTAGGGTCTGCGTTAAAGGTGGTGATAAGTAAAGATTCTACCTTGCTGGTTACTGATGGAAGCACACAGGATTCTGTGGAGAAGCGGATAAAGCAGATTGCAAGCCTTGTTGAGGTGTGTACCTACTTTCACCGTGCACATTTGCCGTCCATGATGCTAGTTTCTTTGTTTATAATTGCATTATTCAGTGTAACACTAGTACGAGATTTCAAAGCTCCTCGAATAAATAATTCTTTTTTGCATGTTTTTATCAATAAATGTGGCGCGGAAATTAAAATGAATGGTGCAAGATATGTGAATCGGGATAGATTTTTAATGTTTGAATGAATTCAGTTCCTCCGGAAACAGGGTGTAAAAGAAAACATTAGACCACTAATTTGTCTTAGAATTTGGGTTTGCATTCAGGACTAAATTCTATGTCAACTACCTGATTATCATATCAAGACCAAAGTCTCCGGTTCCATCCTCTAGATTAAGACTTGTGATTATAAGCATACTTAACCAAGATAGGATCTCAATCTATGGTCCTGAGATTAAACATTAAACGTAAATTAGTTGAAATTTATTGTTTACATCAAGTAGCCCAAAGTAATATTATGGACCCGAATCAAATTCATGTCAGGCCTCTTTTCCAGTAGATTCCTAGATGTAGTCTTCTTTTGACAATTCCGACATTCATGTCGGGCTTCATTGTATTAATATGCATCTCTTTCTTGTTTTAGAACACTAAAGAGACGTTCAAGAAGAAGATACTGAGCGAGAGAATAGCAAGACTATCTAGTGGGATTGCCATTCTTCAGGTAATGGTGGTACATGTCGAAGGTGGCAAGCCAATCCATTCCAACATATGCCGTGTCCTATTTCTGAGCTCTTGCATTATCTCAGGTACAAATATTTTCTAAACAACAAATGACAGGTAGGTGCACCAACGGAAGTCGAGTTAAAGAGCAAAATGCTGAGAGTTGAGGACGCTCTGAATGCGACCAAGGTAATTCCGAGACCATGCATGCTTCCTGGCAGATGAATTGCCAGTGGTTTCAAAACTGAGCCTTTGTGTTGCAGGCAGCCATTGAAGAAGGTGTTGTTGTCGGAGGTGGCTGTAGCTTGCTGAGGCTATCCCTAAAGGTGGATGATATTAAGAATTCTCTGGATAATGAAGAGCAGAAGGTACCACTTTTTTATTCGTCTGAACCATGCAACTCTTAGATGCTTCTACATCTCTCTTAAAGCTATTTATGCCTGTATTCTGCAGGTTGGTGCTGACATCTTCAAGAGGGCTCTAAGTTATCCCACGAAGCTCATAGCTAAAAATGCAGGCGTCAATGGTAGTGTCGTCATTCAGAAGGTTCACATTTCCTCCTCTGTAACCACACAAACACCGAATGTTTTACGATTAAACTTTATTTAAGTCAGCAGGCAACGTGATGCTGGCAGACAGGATGAACCTTTCTTCATACTTGCTCCTATGTTAAGCCAGCAACATCTTCTCCTTTGGAGGAGTAGAATATAATACCTTGTTCTACTTCCAGATTCTATCCTCCGATGACAGCAGATATGGATATAACGCAGCGAAAGACTGCTATGAGGACTTGATGGATGCAGGAATCTTAGATCCGTCAAAGGTATGTGGCCTGCAGATATATGAAAGCAACACCTTCAATGATCGCATTCAACATGTCTTTATGTACTTTATTGTGAATGTAAACAGGTGGTTAGATGCTGCGTGGAGCATGCAGCTTCTGTTGCCAGGACTTTTCTTACCTCCGATGTGGTAGTTGTAGATACAAGGGAACCATATCCTGCTACCATGAGACCACGGATGCCAACATCTGGTCCAATGCCTTCTTTTGGTCACACACCAACTTTCAGCCCTTTGCCGTCTAAAGTGAGTCCGAAGTCAACTCCCTTCTCACCTCTTGGTTCAAAGAGAACTCCAGGTACCCCCCCCCCCCTAAATCCGTGGACATTTATGTGAAAGGTTTCATTCATCTCATTCATGTTTGCTAATTTCGATCCAATTTTTTCAGGTGCCATGTTTTAGCCGTCTGGAACCATTGTAGTTACTTGGGGTCGCTGATATCAGACTCTTGTCTTCCCTTGAAACATGCCCTGTAATGCCGAGAAGCATAGAAATCAGATGCACAGAGAGGGCAAGGGCATTGCCGCCAAATGCATAGATCACACATGCAACATGTAAGTTTCAACAGATAGCTTCATGCATCCATTCCTTTAAGACAATTTTGCTCGAATAATGTATGGTGGGGAAAATGTTCCTCATCTCTATAAATAAAAGCTTTTGATCCATAGTATCGGGTATGCTAGTTGATGAGTTTCAGACGAATCCTCAAAAAGTTTAGCGATGGGCAACTAGTAAACTCAACAGTAATTTCATATTTGCTATTATGGAATTGTTGCTGTAGTGCTTGCTGTATATTCTCCTTCGTGGGCCTTCAACTGCTCCTATTAAATGAGTTTCCGATTTTAACTTGCTCCACGTTTTAATCCCGTGTGACGAAAGCGAAAGCTATGTCAGGAGATAGACGGTCTCTTTGAAGGACGGAGGCGTTTACTAGAGCATGTAACAGTAACAAATGAAGAACAAAGAGAGAGAGAGAGAGAGAGAGAGAGAGAGAGAGAGAGAGAGAGGGAGCAGACAGGTTGTGCACGAGGAGGACGACCTTTGTTCTGCAGAAAATGGAGTGCGTTTTCCGGAATCCGCTCCGTATTGCATGCTTGAAAAGTCGGTCGACGCCTAATCTCTCTGTGCAGCGCTGAAATGGCCTTCGGCTTTGATCTGTGCAATGCCGGCCGCCGATTCTCCTCCCCACCCGACCGACGATCCTCCAGCAGACAGATCTCCGGTCGATTTCTACGGAGGAGGAACTTCACCGGAGAACTTCGCGAGATCGGAAAATCGAATGCCGCCACTAACGGCGCGAGGAGTCGATCTGAAGCAGTCGGAGCAGGATCCGTCTAGCTATCCGCACAGTCCGGCTACCGTCCTGATGTGAATTCGATAGTCGTCCGATATCTAGAAGGAATCGGAAGCTTCCATCATCCGCCACGTGGAGATTCGCCTAATCTGCCATGGGCTCCACTTTTGACCAACCTCGATCGTGATAGACGGCTGTAATCCAGATATTGTATTTAATTTCGAAATATCTCATCCGTTTGATCTCAATGACGTCATAAAAGGTCATCAAGCGGTCATATCACCCCACCACCCTTCTCTTCTATCTTCTTTTCAGTGCCTTTCCCCTTATCGACTTCCTGTCAGGAGACGGTGGCCGGCTTCGAGGGTCAACGGCGGCGATTGAGACCAGGTAGTGAGCGATCTTTTGCACCGACGGGTGGTTGGTTGGGAGGCGCGAGAAGGTGGGGGAGATAGGCCACGAGGAGGGAGAAAACAGTCAAGTTGAACGGCTGACTGTGACGAAGGGGGACAGCGTGGCTCTCGCCTGCCCTTTGACCTGCCCCCATCTGGAAGGAAGGAAGGAAGGTGGGATCTGCCATCGCCGGTGAGGAAGACGGAGAAAAATCAAATAGAGAAGAGATCGGGGAAGGGAGGGGTGATGAGACGGAGAGACCAGCAGGTTGGTGGGTCTGGTGGTGCTATTTAAGGGCCCTCACATCTCCCTTCCCGAAGGAGACCCATCTTCCCCTCCACTCTTTTTTCTCTCTCGCTCGCTCTGTGTACCCCTACTCCTCGCGCTCAAGGAGCCGCTGCTGCGGGGTTTCGGTCACCGGAAATTTCAGGTTGGTTGATCTCCTCTCCACCTTGTCGGCAGGTATCTACGTCGGGAGGGAGCTCCGCCCCGATCTGGATTTTGGATCTGCCGTTGATTTCCCCTTTTCTGTGGTGCAATCGCCGGAAAATTATCTGGGACGGTGGTGGCAGTTGCGGGATTCCGATAGGTCCTCTGGGAGGGGTCTGGGCGCCGGCAATGCTCGATCCCTCTCTTTACTCTCTGGAACGTCTGGTTTTTCGCGTTGGTTTCCCTCTGAGAGATGGGATCTGTGATTCGCTGGCTTCCGCTGGTTTTCTGTTGGATCATGTTCATCTTAGATCCGATGTGAATTTCGAACACTCTCTGATGGTTGGATTTCCGATTCGTTCTGGTTCGAACGTCTCTCACTGACAGGATTAACCTTCCCAAAATTTTCCAATCAATCGGATTAGCTTCCGGGAATATTAACCGAGCAGACGTCTTCAAACTCTAGAACTGCTTCCCTCCCGCTAAATTCGAGAATCAAGATCTTCATTGACACTGTTCTTCTGGAATCAGGGACGAGATGGCTCTCACGAGAATCGGCCTCGCCGGCCTCGCCGTCATGGGGCAGAACCTGGCCCTGAACATCGCCGACAAGGGCTTCCCCATCTCAGTCTACAACCGCACCACCTCCAAGGTCGACGAGACGGTGGCGCGCGCCAAGGCCGAAGGTGACCTCCCTCTGTACGGCTTCCACGACCCCAAGTCCTTCGTCCAGTCGATCCAGAAGCCCCGGGTCATCATCATGCTGGTGAAGGCCGGCGCCGCCGTGGACCAGACCATCGAGACCCTCTCCGGCCACCTCGAGGAAGGCGACTGCATCATCGACGGCGGCAACGAATGGTACGAGAACACCGAGCGGAGGGAGAAGGCGATGGCGGCGCGCGGCCTCCTGTACCTCGGCATGGGAGTCTCCGGCGGCGAGGAAGGCGCCCGCCGGGGGCCGTCGATGATGCCCGGAGGATCCTTCGAGGCCTACAAGAACATCGAAGACATCCTCCTCAAGGTGGCGGCGCAGGTCCCCGACAGCGGCCCCTGTGTCACCTACATCGGCAAGGGAGGCTCCGGCAACTTCGTGAAGATGGTGCACAACGGGATCGAGTACGGGGACATGCAGCTGATCGCCGAGGCCTACGACGTGCTCAGGTCCGTTGGCAAGCTCTCCAACGCCGAGCTGCACCAGGTCTTCTCGGAGTGGAACAAGGGGGAGCTCCTCAGCTTCCTGGTCGAGATCACCGCCGACATTTTCGGGATCAAGGACGACAAGGGCGATGGCTACCTGGTCGACAAGGTCCTGGACAAGACCGGGATGAAGGGCACCGGAAAGTGGACCGTCCAGCAGGCGGCGGACCTGTCCGTGGCGGCGCCGACCATCGCCGCCTCCCTGGACGCCAGATTCCTCAGCGGGCTCAAGGAGGAGAGGGTCGAATCGGCCAAGGTATTCAGCTCCGCCGGCCTCGCAGGAACCCTTAGCGGCGCCGGCGGTCACCCACCGGTGGTGGACAAGGAGAAGCTGGTGGACGACGTGAGGCAGGCCCTGTACGCCTCCAAGATCTGCAGCTATGCGCAGGGGATGAACCTGATCCGGGCCAAGAGCTTGGAGAAAGGTTGGGATCTCAAGCTGGGGGAGCTCGCAAGGATCTGGAAGGGCGGCTGCATCATCCGGGCCATCTTCCTGGACCGCATCAAGCAGGCCTACGACCGCAACCCAGAGCTCTCCAGCCTGCTCGTTGACCCCGAGTTCGCCAAGGAGATCGTTGACCGCCAGGCCGCCTGGCGCAGAGTCATCACACTCGCGGTCAACGCCGGCGTCGGCACGCCGGGCATGTCCGCCAGCCTCGCCTACTTCGACACCTACCGGAGGGAGAGCCTGCCCGCCAACCTCGTCCAGGCGCAGAGGGACTACTTCGGCGCCCACACCTACGAGAGGACCGACATGCCGGGGGCCTTCCACACCGAGTGGTTCAAGATCGCCAAACAGTCGCACCTCTGAGAGCATCCTGTGCTGTGAGCCTCTCTCTCCTCTGTCTCTGTCCCTTCCCTCCAAATAATTGCCGCCGTTGGAGTAAAGACTAGATTTTTTTTCTTCTTCTTTGTTTCCCATCATGGTTGGAGACCTGTTTTTTGGGACCCCTCTTAGTGAGTTCCTTCGGTGGATGTTTATTGATGATGATCCTTCGTCAGACTCTACTACCATCCCACTCAAGAACATCATGTTCTTCATGTGCGTTCAATCCTTTCGGTTGTCTTGATGGTTCTGCATATTCATATTTGTCATTTATTTATAGAAGATCCTCTTGAATACGAGAGGAAGAGCAAATGAGAACCATACTAGGCGAGAAAAATATCCCCTCCCCCCCCCTGTATTAGGCTCTTCTCTTTCGATGGGCAAAGTTAGTACCATATCTACTGAAAATCATAGGCCCTATTTTTTGGCCTTCCACAATAAGCCCGTTTGGGCTTTATGGGATATATGCCTCTGTGAGTCCTGCAAGTTTGGTCCTTCTGGGCTTCCTGACACCTTTGTTCTGTAGGGAATCTCCCATCCTTAGCATGAAGTTGTCCATGACTGCCTTCTTTTCTTGATCAAGAATACTCACATATGCCAGTAATGTTAAATGCCAATGAGAAGGCCGTGGCTAATCTACCAGCATTGAAAACCTTCTTTCGTCTTTTGTCTCTTGTCTCTTGTCTAATAGAGAGAGAAGCCGTGTGACACACCATGATGTTAGTGTAAAGATATTATATTCAATTCAAAATTGAGGAGAAAGTAAACAGTTGAGAATGGAAAGATCATCAGTAGGGTAAGTAACGATGTAGTTATGAGTAAATTCTACTTGGGCAAAGTCCAAATCTCACCGATTAAGTTGATACTGTAAAGTATAATAAAACGCACTAGAAAACACGATATAGGCCACTTCAATTTGACCATCAAGAAGCAGATGATTAGTGTTGTTAAATTTCAAAGATGGATCAAACTATCTCTCTAACACTATGCAAAAAGTGAGATAACACCTTGGCATTATGATTTCAAGTAATGGGCTTTGGTACACAAGCAAATGAATCCCTTGCCAAAAAAATTAGTTAGTTAGGTGTACTAAATCATTTGCCCTTTAAGATAGAATACAATGCGTCATACTTGAAAACATTCAAAGAGCATAAATAGAATATGCTCCTCTCTTTGTATAAGGTAACCTCAAAATAAATCTATAGATATATATTAACAAAAATTTCTAGAATAGGTAATACCACATAAATTTCCATATTTTGACATTATCTTTCATTGAGTTGACATACCACGATTCTTGATATCTCTTTTCTCTCAAGGCCAATACTCTCTTTCTTCCACCAATCATCATGTTTTATCACAACCTAGATGATCTCTCAATCATCTTCTATATAGCTGTTGAATAATCTTTTTTGGGGTTAAGCTTCAAAAGACAGAAAAATGATATCCTCAAAATAAGAAGTTGTTTTGTAAATAAAATGTATATTTAACCATCAAGCAAACTACTAATACTTGGTCGTAAATGTTCATCAACTTCATATAAATATTTTAATTAATTAATTAATTATAGTTGTGCTTAAAAAGTTATTAAACATGTTGATCTTCTACAAAGTGTGTATTCAACATGGTTGGGGATTAGATTTGTGTTTTAAGCTGACTGTAAACTATTAGAGAATTCATTCCTAGAAGAAATGTATTTTATTAATACTAGTTGTAATCTTAATATATATCATTACTAGATGATTAGTCGACAAAAATAAATCCATTCTGAATTGAATAGTAATCCAATCTGTACATGATCAAATAATTACATAAAAAACTAGAACACACACTCCACTCTCCTTTTTCATCATTAAGATTTTAATGATGAAAGTTATAAAATACCCCTCCTATGATAAAACTACTATTATATCCAGAATTGATAGATCACTCTATTTGAAATAAAATTTTAAAATTAGCTAATGATAATATTTAATTAATTGATATTTTTTTATTCTTAATAATTTGATAAATCATATTTGCTTATTTCTCTCAAATAATATCATATTTTCTCATGATTTCAATGATCAATATTGAAATCTTTTATAAGCATAGAATAAAACATAGCATGACCATATGAATTGTTGGCTATTCTCTAATTGCCTAACATTAGTCCTTGTCTACTTTTATGTTATTAGTACTACCTTTAAAGCTTACAAAGGCCAAGCTTCCTGCCATGAAGTTGAATTTCTTCAATTCAATGAAGAGTTTATGACTTTTAAAGGCTTTAGTATGTGGCTCCAAGGTAAAAGATGTTCTTACTTTTTATGTTCTTGTAAATGAGCACATTAGCAACATCAAAGACATGAAATCTATCCTTAGGTAGCTTAAATAAATTTGTAATTTTTTTATAAATGTGCGTAAATTATCAGATTGATTAAAAGCAAAAAAAATCATTTAAGTTTTTTTAAAACTTGGATAAAGAAAATTGAATTGACATTTGAGCGTATTCTAATATACTAGTAACCATTGTCAAATTAACTTTTGAAAGTGCCTTTGAACTAGAAAGAATATCAACCATATTTTTAAGTCATGGAGTGAGAAAGATATATATATATATATATATATACATATATATCATTTTAATGTTACCTGTTGCATGAGTACTCAAAAATTTAAATTTATTATCATTTTTTCTTAACTAAGACAAAATATATGAATAGTGGGGTTCACTTGACGATTCTTCAACTTGTTCTTATATACCATGACTCTTTATATCTTTTATATTCACTCCCAAATTCAACAAATTAAGCATGCTAATTCTAAAAATAAGTGAATGTGATGATTTGATATATATATATATATCCCTAACAAGAGGAACAATATCAAATTAATTGCTTGAAGTAATTTTTTTACAATATTTCTTATTGAATATAGATTTCAATAGAAGGTGAATCACACAAAGTATATTCTTCTTAAGAAAGAAAGTTTAGGTGTAAAGTTTATTTAAGTTTATTAAATCTCTCATTGAGTATCCCACATTATATTTTGAAATAAGATTATGGTAATCTTAAAAGAGAATTTCTGTTTGGTTTTATAAGTATTAAGATTGTCTCAACCATGACCAGTAGTTTAGAGATCAAATTGTGACATGCCATATGATTCATCATTTTAGCCATTAAAATAAATCTTCTCCTTAATCATCATCAATTTGGGTGTCAAGTGATATTGTGTTATAAAATAAATCTAAAAATAAGGGAAAGGGGAGAATTTTTTAAAATTATTAATTTTAATTCATATACACATTCTTACTCTTATACTTCTAGTGTGTAGTTGCTTCCACCATTTGACATATCATTGTCCAATGTGTAAGTAATCAATTTAAACTATGTATATTTGAAAATCATCAACATTTGTAGATGATTTTTTTTTCCAGTTTATGATCTTATATACCAAGTATGCCAAGATTTGTATGAAAGTTGTTGATATGCTCGTCATTTAATCTTCCTCCTATTGTTTCTATATACAAATAAGAAATGACAATCTTACTGAAATTCACTTCATACATCAGTTGGTAGTGGATGGCTAGGGGTTGGGAGATAAACTTAGCGTCTAATATCAGCTTTTTTAGTTGACATGTTTGAGCCACAGCTGAGCTCCATTGGTGTTACCAACCATTATTTTAGAGTATAGTGTAAATCTCAGAAATTTTGATTGGCATTATCTTGAAACCCAATAAAACTCACTTTTAAAATAACCTTAATGACGTGACTTAGTTATTGTATAGTAAATTACGTAAATTTTAAATTTCTAAAAATAAAAAAATATTAATTTTCAGATATTTAGAAGTATTTCTAAAAAAATATATTTATTATAATTTAATAAAACTTCTAAAAATAGAGATAATTTTTCAGGTCAATCACAAGGATGTAATATAATATCTGATATTTTTTTTCAGAGTTTTCCTCAAAGAATATGAGTTTTTATAAATTTTATACTATGAAATGAAAATGAAATATATTTAAAATTGACATAAAAGGGAAATAAGGGTGCGTACGTCAAGATGACGTCAGTGCCCGACGAATGAAAATCGGACGAAAATAGAGTTTCGCCCGACAATTCTTACGTAAGTAATTACAGATGATGTAATTAATCAAATTAAGATCTATAAAAGTCAAAAAAATCGAAGTTGAATAAAATCTAGCTTGGTGAATTTAAATCACACAAATTATCACTAAATCAAGTATAAATTAAGTTGAAAGTAGAAAAATAAAATTTCTACGTCACAACGATGATGTACCAAAATCCTAAACGTTCGAGAGGATCATCGTGTAATGTCCACAGGTTCAAAGGTTCTCTTTGGACAAGGACGATGTGGATAATTTCTAGATCTTCTTACGAAGTTTAGAGATCAATGAAATAGGTCGTCGAATCATTTCTAGCGACTGTCACCTGACGGAACGGAAAAATAATGACTTTGTGGCTCTCTAGTGGCTGTCACCTGATAGAGTGGAGCTGGATGGAGGTGGGCGCATGTTAGGGAGCTTCATCCTCATGTCCGCGCAACAAGAAGAAGTTTTTCATCGCATTCGGTATGCTCTTAGGAGGTGACAACTCATCTCCCGACAGATCGTCCTCTTCCCGACGATAGCTTGTTCATTGATCAATCAGAGATCATTTACTTGATAGATTTATGATCCTTTTATCTCAAATCATTTAATAATTTTAGTAATAATGTTCCGCAAATCGTGTTGACAAGATTTTTACCAATGATTTAATGATTCTAAAGGCTGAATCTTTCATCAACGATCTATAGGAAAGTCACAATAATTAGATAAAAATACGAGTTTTGGTTCTAAGAGGATCCAAACCTACATTGGTTGTCTGCCTACATGAGAGAGATTGCAATAAGTACTCTAATACCCTTATCAAGTGATGTCATTATGGTATATCTCTGTTATAATTAAGGGATAATTTAGATATTAATATTTTCGAAGCCTTTTGGG